TGGAACAGGCTTGAAGGGCTGAATGGCTTCCTCCTGTTGCTCTGTGTCTATGTTCGTATTGTCAATGTGTTAGACAATGAGCAACGAGAGGTATTGTTGGGCCTGTTTAATTGCGAAGTTTGATGGAGTCTCTGTGGGGTGAGAATGAAGAGCCTCTTCACTGCATACACCTAATGGAAGAAGCATTGATAAATTTCCTGGGTTGTAACCATCGGCTTATGGTAACGGAGGAGCTTATTTATATAAGTTGTGCTTCATTATCCGCGGCCTAATTGACAGAGTGGAGTTATATTGTGGGGAATGCCAGTGTCCGAGATGTGAGAGCTCAGGTGATGGCTGAATCCTCGATGTGTTGTCACACACAGTATCACACACTTAGCCAGGCAGGGAGGGCGATGCCAATTTGCTGGGGTTCAGTAATACGAGCTCCATTTCTGCTGTTCCCTAATCTGCGCGATGAATAATTCATGTAATGTAAATATTCCATTATAAACATGCTAATTCAGCAAGCGAGGACTTTTGGGGTAGCGGGATATTGAGATATTGGTGAAATGGGCTGTCACTTCAGGAGTTACTGTTGTTTTGTTATGTCCGGGTTTAAGGAGAGCTCATCTGTTATTGTGTTTATTGGCTTTCAGCCACAACGCCCCAAAACTCTGTCACTCTCCCTCTGTCCCTCTGCCTTGCCCCCTCCTTCCCCATTTTGAGGTCGCATCTCAAGATCTTCCTCTTCGATCATGCCTAGGGTCACCTCCCTCTCCCCTCCCTCTGGCTCGGCAGAGTCCTCCGCCACTGTCGAGCGCTCTGGGATGCTACCCTATGTGAGGGGCGCTGTGTAAGGTGTTGTTGATGTCTCTAGCTCTGTGTATAGAGACATGTCCACAGTAATTGCTAATGTCATGGTTATCAGTTCAGGTGCTGTGTCAAACACACGGATTATTATTGATGTTGTTGTTCTCTGCACATTCACGGCCTCACTCAGACCCTTACCTGGCCTGGCCCGGCTTGACTACCTGGCGTGCCATGTTGTTGGGCACAAATGCATTGGTGCTGAGCCAGACCATTTATGCAGTCAGACTCATGCAGCTGCACTGGCTCTGGTGGGGCCTGTTTGATCCAGAAACCCGGAGGTGACTTTCAGTTGCAAAAAACAATCAGTGAAGCCCCCCCTCTTCTCTCCCACTTTCTTCCCCCCTCTTTTTCTCCCCCCATCTCCCTCTCCTCCCCTCCCCAACACTTCTCCCCCTCTCGCCCCCCCTCCCCCCATCGCCCTCTCCCCCCCATCGCCCTCTCCCCCCCCATCGCTCTCTCCCCCCCATCGCGCTCTCCCCCCCCATCGCCCTCTCCCCCCCCATCGCCCTCTCCCCCCCATCGCCCTCTCCCCCCCCATCGCCCTCTCCCCCCCCATCGCCCTCTCCCCCCCCATCGCCCTCTCCCCCCCCATCGCCCTCTCCCCCCCATCGCCCTCTCCCCCCCATCGCCCTCTCCCCCCCCATCGCCCTCTCCCCCCCCCCCCCATCGCCCTCTCCCCCCCCCCCCCATCGCCCTCTCCCCCCCCCCCCATCGCCCTCTCCCCCCCCTCCCCCCATCGCCCTCTCCTCCCCCTCCCCCCATCGCCCTCTCCTCCCCCCTCCCCCCATCGCCCTCTCCTCCCCCCTCCCCCCATCGCCCTCTCCTCCCCCTCCCCCCATCGCCCTCTCCTCCCCCCTCCCCCCATCGCCCTCTCCTCCCCCTCCCCCCATCGCCCTCTCCTCCCCCCTCCCCCCATCGCCCTCTCCCCCATACGTACATACACACACACACTAGCCATGACAAATGGAGGCAGGAAGACAGGCAGTGATTTATGGGAATAATGGCAGCATTAAACTGCAATCTGCTCCTAGGGAAATTAATCGCACCGAGAACGCTTAATCACGCAAAAAGAAGTGAAAATCCAGTTCGCTTTATCATCAACTGGATTTTAATTGCTCGCTGCCTGGTTCTGGGCACTTAGCAGATAATTGTATACTAGTGATCGGTCGTCGCAACTCAGGAGCAAACCATCACCACAGCTGTGGGTTAGTTTGTGAGCCAGACAGAGAGCAACACTGAGCCAGATAGAGAGGTCATAGCGAGTGTGTGTGACAGCCCGGCTCAGTCTGTAATAATAATAATCCTGGCATTTGATATAGCGCTTTTCACGTAGGGAGGACGTCCCAAAGCGCTTCACAGAACACACTGTAAAGTGAATTGACTGTATATTTGTGGGCGAACGCGGCAGCCAATTGCGCACAGCAATGTCCCACAAACAGTCGTAGATTGAAAATGACCAATTTATTATTGTTTTGTTTTTGGAGGCTCTGTGTGGAGTAAGGAAACTTGCCCAAGGTTTTGCCCTGACCTGCCTGGGATTGAACTCAGGTCTCTCACTTGCAAAGCGAGTGCTCTAACCACTGAGCTACAGGCTCTCGCCTCTCAGTCAGAAGGTTGTGAGTTCAAGTCCCCACGTCAGGACTTGGAATCACACAGTCCAGGCTGACGCTCCAGTGCATACCTTCCTCCCCATCTCTCCCTCCTCCCTTTCACCCACCATCACATCCATGAAACCCACCACCTGCTGCCTCGACCCGCTCCCCACTAACTTGCTGGTCACCCAGCTCCCCCTCCTCTGACCCTACTGGCTGACATCATCAACCAGTCCCTCTCCTCCGGATCAGTTTCTGCCCCCCTCAAAACTGCTGCCATCACCCCCCTCCTGAAAAAACCCTCCCTAGATCCTTCAAACCCCAGCCACTGCCGCCCTATTTCTAACCTGCCCTTCCTCTCAAAAGTTCTAGAACGCGTTGTTGCAAACCAACTCCGCGCACACCTCTCCTCCCACTCCCTCTTCGAACCCCTCCAGTCCGGTTTCCGCCCACAGTACAGACTGCGCTTGTGAAAGTCACAAACGACATCCTCTCTATCTGTGACCAGGGCTCCCTCTGCCTCCTTGTACTCCTGGACCTCTCCGCCGCGTTCGACACAGTCGATCACGCCATCCTCCTCCACCGTCTTTCCTCCGTCATCCACCTCAGTGGGACCGCACTCGCCGGTTCGAGTCCTACCTCACAAACCGCCAGCAGTACATCTGCACAAACGGCTTCTCCTCCCACTCTCATCCGGTTACCTGCGGGATACCCCAAGGATCCATTCTTGGGCCCCTCCTCTTTCTGATCTACACGCTCCCTCTTGGGGATGTCATCCGCAGACATGGGATACACTTCCACGCATATGCAGACGACACCCAACTCTATTTTTCCACCTCTCTTTGCGACCCCCAGTCCCCTGATGTTCTGTCAGCTGCCTGTCAGATCTCAGGGGCTGGATGAGCGCAAACTTTCTTCAGCTGAACGTTGATAAGACGGAAGCCATACTGTTTGGCTCTCGTCAAAGTCTAAAATCTCTTGGCTCTCACCTCCTCCAACTACCCGACCTCCCACTAAAACTCTCCGAACCCGTACGCAACCTAGGCGTCAGGTTCGACCCCCAATTATCTTTCCTCCCCCACATCCGGTCCCTCACCAGCACCGTCTTCTTCCACCTCCGACGCATTGCCCATCTCCGCCAATACGTCTCCCCAAAAGCCACTGAAACTCTGGTCCATGCCTTTGTCACCTCTCGGCTGGATTACCCAAATCCCTCCTCACCGGTCTCCCCTCCACTACCATCCATAAAATCCAAATCATTCAAAACTCTGCCGCCCACGTTCTCACCTGCACGAAACTCTGCTCTCCGATCACCCCAGTCCTGGCCAGACTGCACTGCCTCCTGCCCAGAGAGGATCGATTTCAAGATCCTCACCCTTGTATTCAAATCCCTGCACTCCTCTGCAGCCCCCGACCTCTCTGACCTCCTCTCTCCTCACAACAGTACCCGTTGCCTTCGTTCCGCCGGGTCTGGCCTCCTCCTCGTCCCCCGAGTCCTCCGCTCCACCCTCGGAGCCCGTGCCTTCAGCCAGTGCGCCCCGAGGCTCTGGGATCCGTTACTGTAAAGCGCTCTGAGACTCTGTCCGGCGTGGAGGGGGCTGTATAAATCCAAGTTGTTGCTGTTGTTTTTGCAGTGTTGAGGGGAGCGCTGCATTGTTGGAAGCACAGTCCTTTCGATAAGACGTTAAACTTTACCAGGTCTGTGTCCTGTTCAGCTGTGGCCGTTAAAGATCCTGCGTTGCTATTCAAAAAGAGAAGTGAGTGGCTTTCTCTCTCTCTCTCTTTCATCCAAACGCACCTCTTGATCTTGTGGAGGCACGCTGTACACAGGCAAGCCAATGGCGCCCCATTTTTTGCAAAATGACTCAACTACATAGTGCAAACTCAGCCAACCTATTTGTAACATGAAGCCCCGGGAGATGTCAGCGTTTTTCAGGGGCAACAAAATGGTAGTGTTTTTGAATACATTATTTTTAAAGTCAATGTTTTAAGCGAAAGCACTTTCTCTCTCGCTCGCTTTCTCTCATTTTCCTCTCCCTTCTCTCCACACTCGCTCACTCTCTTTCATTCTTTTTTCTCTCCTTTCCTCTCTTGTTCCCCCCCTCTCTCTCTCTCTCTCTCCTTCCTCTCCTCTCTCTCTTTTCCTCACTTCTCTCTCTCCCCCTCCCTCTCTTTTACCTCTCTTAACAATAAGAATAAGAATAATCCTTGCATTCCTGGGCGAAACGCGGCAGCCAGTTGTGGACTGAGTGACCAAATTATTATAATTTTTTTTGGAGGGATTATTATTCCAGGAAAGCAATCTCCCAATCGACTAATAACTGGGTTCCTACTTACTGCTAGGTAAACCGAGATATGTGTGTGGAGTAAATAAACTTGCCTAAATGCAGCTTAACCCCCTCCATGGACACTTTCCTTTCTCCCGCAGACCCTTCTCACCGCAGGAAGCCCTCCCCCCCCTCTCTGCCCAACTAACCATTGCCCTTGCTCACACCCCAAGCCTGAGACCCTCCCTCCCCCTGAGGTGACTTCATTAACACCTCTCTCTCCTCCCAGGGCTGAGCCGGGCGGCCTTGCCGTTCGGGCTGATGAGGAGGGAGCTCGCCTGCGAGGGCTACCCGATCGAGCTGCGCTGTCCAGGAAGTGATGTCATCATGATTGAGAGCGCTAATTATGGGAGAACAGACGACAAGATCTGCGACGCAGACCCTTTCCAGATGGAGAACGTGGACTGTTACCTGCCGGATGCCTTCAAGATCATGTCACAGAGGTAAGAGGAGGCTGCGGCCGGTAATTATTTATCATCAATAATAAATAATAATAAACACCTTGCACTTGATAAAGCGCCTTATCAAGTCGTTGAGACGTCTCAAAGTGCTCCACAAAACACTACACTTTACAGAGATTCCTGTGAAGCGGTTTGAGACGTCCTCATAACATGATAGACTGGGTACCTAATGCGAGGAGTATTATGTATTGGGAAGTCAGTAGTTGAGCCGGGCAGAGTGGGACTGGGTGGAGGGGGTCTGGGCTGAGCGAGAAGCTGAATTCAGCTCAGGGGAGGCTTCAATTAGCTTTTAAGAGCTGCTTACAGGAAGGGGAAGGTTGAAGGTCCTGATAGTAATGTTATTGATCGGGGCGTATCAGTCTGTGCTCCCAAGTCTCTGCGCTGGCGCCGATATTTAATGAAGCTCCTCAACAGACTGATGTGGCAGCTACTGGCATATACTTTGCTGTGTTGATTGGAGACGAGGCTTTTGCAGACAACATATCGATCCCAGGCTGTGTATTACCACTGAGTGCCGCACACTGTACATCAAATATTGTGTCCGTGCTCTGTCTCCATTTACAGAGTGGCCTCCTGTCCCGGGAGTGAGAGAGAGAGAGAGAGCTGCGAGCTCCTCTCCTGGTCTCTAGCACATTCCTTGTCTTTCTGCAGGTGTGTGTGTCAGCCCGGCTGTCACTGTGTGTGTGTCAGCCCGGCTCAGTCACTGTGTGTGTGTCAGCCCGGCTCAGTCACTGTGTGTCAGCCCGGCTCAGTCACTGTGTGTCAGCCCGGCTCAGTCACTGTGTGTCAGCCTGGCTCAGTCACTGTGTGTGTGTCAGCCCGGCTCAGTCACTGTGTGTCAGCCCGGCTCAGTCACTGTGTGTCAGCCTGGCTCAGTCACTGTGTGTGTGTCAGCCCGGCTCAGTCACTGTGTGTCAGCCCGGCTCAGTCACTGTGTGTCAGCCCGGCTCAGTCACTGTGTGTGTGTCAGCCCGGCTCAGTCACTGTGTGTCAGCCCGGCTCAGTCACTGTGTGTGTGTCAGCCCGGCTCAGTCAGAAGGTTGGTTATCGGTTCAAACCCCCACGTCAGGACTTGGAATTACACAGTCTATGCTGACTCTCCAGCGCAGTACTCGGAGGAGCGCTACATTGTTGGAGATGCCGTACTTTGGATGAAACGTTAAACCTCACTCCCCGTCTGTGCCCTGTTCATGTTAGGTTAAAGATCCCGCGGTGCTTTTTGAAAAACAAAAGGAGCTTCTCTCTTTCTCCCAGTGTCCTGGCCAACAATCCCCCAGATAAAATCGGACACTCACTCCATGGCTGTTTGTGGGGCACTGCTATGCAAAAACTGACTGTTTCGCCTACCGAATACACAGTCATTGGACTTCATAGTGTATCCTGTGAAGCGCTTTTCTGGTGGTAATACTTTGAAAAATAAATAAATAATAATAATTTGGTCACTCAATCCATGACTGGACACTGCTGTGAGCAATTGGCTACCATATTTCACCCACAAAATATACAGTCAGTCGCTTGCAGTATATTCTGTGAAGCGCTTTGAGATGTCTCGACGATGTGATAAGGCGGCTATATCAAATGCAAGAGTGATTTTTATATCAAATGCAATGGTTATTATTAATAAGTAGAACTGAAAGGATTGCTCATTAAGAGGCAGCACAGAGACGATGGGCCGAATGGCCTTCTGTCTGTCTATAATCTCTAGGGTTCTATGAGCCAATAATATATAATAATACACAGGGAATCTCAAAGCACAGGATGTAAAGTGTGATTTGAATACCTGAGACAATCGTGATCCTGCAGTACCTAGTGGTGGCCACCGGCGGGCACTCTAACATGTACTTAGCAAGTGAGGAGACCCATTTCGCACAAGTCTCTAATTTGCGCCTTTTCTTAAGTAAGAAACAGAAAGGCATCAAATGGCAGATTTCCAATGGGATTCCTTCTAACGGGATTCCTCATTAAGGTTAACCAATCCCACCAGGAATCAGGGAAATCTATGTCAGATTGAAGGACTGAGGGGTTGGTGCAAAAGTCATCATCATCAACAACAACTTGTATTTACCCAGAGCCCTTTACACAGGCAGCATCTCAGAGTGCTTAACAGTGCAGAGCCTGACACCGAGCATGACATGGGAAACCAAAGGGAATTTTAGCTCCAAAAATAGATGCCATTCCCAGTCAGCGTGTGGGAAACACACAGGGAGTGGAAATACTGAGCGATCCACTCCCTCCCCACCAAGGGCAATAGTTTTCTTGATTCATTCTATGGACCATTTCATACAGCAACTTTCACATCAGGTCAGGACATCAAGAGAGAGAGAGAAACTACCTTCTTTTTAACAACAGCAACGCAGATCTTTAACATCTACTTAAACAGGGCACAGACAGGGAGCTTGGTTTAATGTCACATATCAGACTATATAGAGGTATCACTGTTCGAAAAGAGAAGGGAGTTTCACTCTCTCTCCCGGTGTCCTGTTCGAGAATCCCCCAAATAAAATGAATCATTCGGTTCATGGCTGTTTGTGGGATGTCGCTGTGTGCAAATTGGCTGCTGCATTCAACCACAAATAACACAGTCACTTTACAGTGTATGATAATAATAATAATCCTTGCATTTGATATAGCGCTTTTCAAATCTTCTAGATGTCTCAAAGCGCTTCACAGAATATATTGTAAAGTGAATTGAGTGTATGTTTATGATGTAAAGCACTTTGAGACGTCTTAGCGTGAAAGGCATTGTATCAAATGTAAGGATGATAAATATTATTCCTGTTGTCCTGTTGCTCCCAGAGGAGGCTGAGTTGGGCCGGGTTAACAGGAGTCAATCCTCGCTTCCAATGGAAATTGGTCCCAATCTGGTCTGACTAATCCCAGTCGCTGAGCCAGTCTCTCTGCTCCCCTTAAGCCTCTTACTGTGTAAATCCCTGCTCCTGATCAGCAGATGTTCGTTACACAAGCAGTTAGAGCAGCCAGTTGCTATCAGATCGCACACACACACTCGCGCACACTCACACACATACACACTCACACACATATACACACACACACTATCCACACACTCACACACATACACACTACACACACTTGCACACACACATATACATACAGACAGACACACACATTTACACATACGCACACACACACTACACACACATACTCATACACGCATACACTCACGCTGTGTCTCAGCGTCTCAGCGATACAGACCTTATAAATGTGATACCCATACATAGCTGCACCGCCCCAGCACAGCTCACGTCTTGCACCAACGCAGAAACAATCAGTACAACTCTCTCTGTCTATGCCAGGAATTACAAACAATAATAATAATAATAATCCTTACATTGCATCCAGTGCCTTCACTGGGGAGCACGGGTATTTATTTGACTTGGCACCTGAGTTAGTATGTGTCAGCTGCACTCGCCTCTGAGTGAGAAGGTTGTGGGTTTGAGCCCCACAATGAGACCTGTTACTTCTACAGTCTAAGATGAGGCTCCATTGCAGCACTGAAGGGGTTTTGCATTGTAGGAGGTGCCGTGCAGGAGGAGACATTAAACCGAGCTCCCCATCTGTCTGTTCAGATGGATGTGAAGGATCGTGCGGTGCTGTTCAAAAGCAAGAGAGGGGAGGTGACTGAGGTTGAAGAGGAAGGGGTTCAGGTGCGATCTGAAGACGGGCAAAGAGGGGAGAGGCGGAGGCGAAGGATTGAGTTTCTAGGTGTAGTGGTTGAATGCACGGCTGCCAATGGTGGAGCAGAGAACATGAGAGACAAACAGATCAGTATTGACTCTGCACAAAATTCACTTTGAGTCGCTCCCCTGCCCCCACGCACCACTGAAGGAAATATTAACAGCACCTGGTCAATACAGCTGGTGAGAGAGCGATGCAGCTATTGATCCCATTGATCTGAGACTGCTCTCCCCACAGCTAAAGTGATTTAACCAGACGCCTCAGATCGACTTTAGCAACCTCGCTGCATGTTCACCTCTTGCACATGAATTCCCGTCACATAGGGGTGGGGGAGAAGATGCTACAGCCGATGTCTGTCACATGTGGAAACCCATTGCTGTGTTTAGAAACCCTACTGAGAGTTCATCAAAATAATAATCCTTGATACAGCACGATTTTATCGGTGGGATTGTTGGCCAGGTCATCACTATTCTCTCTTGGGGGAGGGAAGGGGAGGTGCAGGGGTGTCAGTGCGGAACTGCCTTCAAGGTGACATGATTAGGAACAGAATATCTGAATCGAGCCAGGCATCTATGCTAGTCCGGTCTCTGAGCCAGACAGGTTCACAGTATTCCAGGGAACTCAATGCAGATAACAGTACAGCCCAGCCTGGCTCATTGGCAGGACCTGGAAGGGTAGATCAGTCATTGGGGTCAGGGAGTCATTCCACTCAGCTCCTGTTAACCCTGCAAGCCACAGTCCTAATGGGTAGGCTGGTCCTAGCTGAACAAGCAGCGAGAAAGCTTGCCAGACAGCGATGTCAATATGGTTTTGGGTTAGGGTTAAGGTGGTTTGGGCTGGTTAGACCCCAGCAGTTGCCCCAACCCAAGCTCTGGGGTCCCCAAGCCTTGGCTCTTGCCAACCTGCGTCCAATTCTCTCTGGAAGTAGGTAAGCAGGATGCGTCCCTCCAGGTAGAGAGAGAGAGAGATGTTCCATTCCAACAATCTATCTCTGGGATTTCCATGTGTAGGTGGGATGTAGGGAATTTTCAGTCTGGTTTGGAGATCTTCAGCATGGTGATGGATTTCTGCTAGGCTTTTCGGTGTATATTTAATATTATTAGAGGACATTAAAAATGTATTGTGCCTTCGCTTCTGTGAAAGGGTAACACCCTGGAGATCAAACCCACGTATCATGGAATGTGCCCAGAGGCGGCTCAACTCTAGTTACAAATCTGAGGGAAAATCAAAGCCCATCATTAATCTCACACACTCAGTGCTGCCAGTGTCAGCCTGGCTCAGTCACTAGTTCTCTCAGCTCAGAGCCAGCAGGTCACAGGCTCAATTCCCTCAATTGGAGACCTTGAGCTTACACATACACACACCTACAGACACACACACACACTCACTCTCACACATACACAGACACACTCACTCACGGACACCTACACACACCCGGTTATACACAGACAAACAGACACACACACCTGCATACACATGCCCACACGTACAAACCACATGCATACACACACACAGAGTCTAGGCTGATGTTCCAGCACAATGCTGGGAGGAGGCGCTGTCCTTCGGCTGAGTCGTTAAACCGCACTCCCCGTCTGTGCCCTGTTCAGGTGGACGTTAAAGATCCTGCGGCACTGTTGGAAAAGAGAAGGGAGTTTCTCTCTCAGTTTCCTGGCCAACAATGGATAAAATAGCTCATTTGTGAGGCGTTGCTGTGTGCTCCCCAGCGCAGCACTCCCACAAGTCAGCCTGGACTGTGAGCTCAAAGTCCCCAACATACCTACAACCTTCTGGATCACAAAGGATAATCCAAGCAGTCACTACCCTTGACAGTAATCTCTATAAAATACCTGGTGATGTTTGCAGGTCTGTGGTGCATTTGGCAAATGAAAGCCTCTCTTCCTATCTCCCTCTCTTTCTTTCGCTCGCTGCTCTGCTGTGAGTACCAGCCTCTGTGAGTCAGTCAGCTGGAACGGGAGCAGGCGAGAGGTGCACAGTGATGGATGGCAGTGAGTGCTGTACATGGCATTTACTCACAGCTCTGGCTCAGGTGTGGGTGTAAAGCAGAGAGCAGGCCAGCGGTGCTGTGTAATCTGCTATCAGCCTCAAACACTCAGTCACTCACCGCTAGCTTTGATATCCGCCAACCCTCTGTAACAGCCTTGTGTACCCAGGCTCCGTGCAACCCACAAACACTGCTCTCTACCTCCGCTCTCCCCATCCGTCCCTTTCCAAGACTGCTTGAGTTTCCTTCCAACCGGGAAAACTCAGCGATTTCCAGAATAGCTTGGTTTCCAAAACTTGGGATCATCCTTTCGCCTTATTACATCTCAAAGCGCTTCACAGGATATGATGTAAATTGACTGTGTGTTTTGTAGGCAAACGCAGAACAGCGACGTCCCCTCAAACGGCCACAAAGTAAATGACCAATTGTATTTGGGGGATTGTCGGCCAGGACACCAGGAGAGAGAGAGAAACTCCCTCCTCTTTTCCAACAGTGCCGCGGGATCTTGAACAAGGCACAGAATGGGAGCTCGATTTAACATCTCATCCAAAGGACAGTGTCTCTGATACTGTGGCGCTTCCCTAGCATTGGGCTGGAGCATCAGCCTGGACTCTGAGTTCAAAGTAACTGATTTGGCCATCAAACATTGAGATAAAATGGGCTATTTACTTCATGGCTGTTTGCGGGAACGTCGCTGTGCGTAAATTGGCTGCCGCGTTCGCTCGCAAAACACAACACTTGACAGAGAGATTTTGCCAAACGTGATCAAGCGCAGCAACGAACGCAGAGACTCTTACTAAAGGACACTCAGTCTGTGAGGAAGTCAAACTCTCGCACTTGTCTTCAATGTAATTCACGCGTCAACTCATAAACGCATTCATTAAGTTAATTTTTAACTCGTAAATTAATTTGCAAATATATGTATTTAATTATCAATTAATGCACATCTGAATTAATTTACACATCTGGAAGTTAATTTGGAAACGAACCCACAACCTCTGAATTAATTTGCAAACATATAAAACGACGAATATATTAACGGCTGATTTATGGATTTGTTGGCAAATGGATACATTAATTTACAAATTAATTGATTTCTTTAATTTGCCGCTGAAAGCTGTTTGGAGAGCTTCCAGTGTCCCCAACACAGAGAGAGGTGTGTGAATAGGACAGGGTAGGACACGAAACAGAGATAGATTCAAAGGGACACAGAGACGGAGAAGGAGAGTCAGAGAGAACACAGTGACATTGATGGGAGGAAAGAAAAAGGAATTTACTGCACAAAATGATGAAAATGCTTCACAAGTTATGCTGTAAAGTGACTGTGTATTTTGTGGGAGAAATGCAGCAGCTAGTTTTGACCACAAAATACAGTCACTACACTTTACAGTACATCTTGTGAAGCGCTTTGAGATGTTTTAATGACGTAATGAGGCGCAATATCAAATTCAAGAATTATTATTATTATTTGAGGGGCTTGTCAGCCAGGAACCGGGAGAGAGAAACTCCCTTCTCGTTTCCAATAATAATAATGTGGTCACTCAATCCACGACTCTTTGTGGGACGCTGCTGTTTGCAATTGGCTGCCGCGTTTCACGCACAAAGATATGCAGTCAATTCACTTTGTATATTCTGTGACGAGCTTTGGGACGTCTCAAATACATGATAAGGCGCTTTATCAAATGCAAGGATTATTATTATTATTACTTAAGGCTGAGCAGCGTGAGGAACGAAGTAGTGGCTCCCTTTCACAGAGGGAAGGCAGGAGGAAGATTGTGCTGATGTCTGTGTAAGGGTGACTTTACTACTTTACTCCCAGTCCCACCACCTTCGCATTACTGTGCAATCTCTGCTTTGCTAATGCTGCTTATGTTCTCACACAACAGCAGTGTATGGACCTGGAGTTCACAAAGGGCCTGAAATTACACACAGCGACTGCTGTCAGCCATTGTAACGAGCTGCAATGTCTCACACTGTTCTACAGCTTTGCCTGAGGCACTGATACACCATAATAATTATTATAATAATCCTGGCATTTGATAAAGTGCCTTATCACGTCTTTGAGACGTCTCAAAGTGCTTCACGGGATATACTTAAAGTGAATTGAATCCTTTAATATTATGCTGCCGGTCGAGGGATCTGAGATGTGGACCAATGGTGATTATTATGGGATGTGGTGTAATATGTGATGTCAAAACCCTCCTCTTCGACCGAGCTTTCGGCAATCCTCCTACTCTCCCTGCTCTTCCCAATCCCGACCCCCAGCTCGGGTCCAAATCCCTAACTGTCTAGATTCTGGGACGTCCTCCCAACATGAAAGGCGCTGTGTAACTGTCATTTTGTATTGTATGTTATCGCTTTGTTTGAAAGTTGCGATGAACATCAGACTTTCCACTTTACCAGGTGTCAGGCTGGGTTGGTCAGTCTCGCTCTCTGGGAATATTGCTGTGCGCAAATTGGCTGCTCAGAAAACAGACAGTCACTTCACGTATGGTAAAATCCTGTGAGACGTTTCGAGACATGCAAAGCACAGTGTCAAATATAAGGATGATTAAGGATAATTATTAGGAACTCATTCCCCTTGTGAAGGGACTGATTCACTACTACTCACCTTCTTACAGGCCGACAGAAGAGTGAAGAACTTCTGTTAAACTTGCCAATCCATGTGGGATGTTGCTTGGTTGCCCCGTTAGCAGAACATGTTTCAATCTGTGTTTGCATAAATCATACAGAAATACAGATAATGCCATTCAATAATTCAGAGTGTTGTGACAAGGGGATTAGGATATAAATAGGATTAGCACGTAATGGAATGATTATAAAGAGATTATAACGTAATAAGCGTGAGTCAGTATCTCAGCGACGGACATTATTCCAGATTCGTGATGAAGCTAAATGCAGGAGCTCGACGTCTCGAATCCTTAGGGAAATGTCTTGGCAAAGACTTGCGGTCGTTTTCCTTTTGGCTGATTTACCTAAAGTCGCAATAATAACAACAACAACAACAACAAAATGACATGTATAGAGCGCCTTTCACGTCGAGAGGACGTCCCAAAGCACTGAACAGTCAGGTGTCGGGGCTCGAGCATGGGGGAGGGGTGGTGAAGGGGTGAGGGAAGGCAGAGAGGTGGGAGGGAGACTAAAGGCACGGTCGAAGAGAAGGGTCTTGAGATCGGCTTGAAGGAGGCAAGTGAGGAAGCGAGGCCAAGGGACCATGGGATGGAGTTCCAGAGTGTGGGGGCAGAGAGGCTGAAAGCTTGGCCACCGATGGTAGGGCAGGTCGGGCGGGAGACATGGAGCAGGCCGGAGCCCGATGAACAGAGGGAGCGGGCAGGTTGGTAGGGAGTCAGCAGGTCAGAGAGGTAGGAGGGGGCAAACATGGCCTTAAAGGTGAGGACGTGGATCTTGAACTCAATCCTCTGGGGGATAGGGAGCCAGTGGAGTCGGCGAGGGTGGGAGTGATGGGGTCACGGAGCCTGGTGCGTGAGAGCTCACGAGCTGCAGAGTTTCCTTTCACCTTTCCTTTCACCTCTGGAGGATGTCTCAAAGCGCTTCCCAGGATTTACTGTCAAGTATAGTGACTGTTTTTTTGTGGTCAAACGTGGTAGCTAATTGTGCACATAGCGACGTCCCCACAGAAAGCCATGAGGAGAGAGGAAAGTGAGTTAAGATTTTAGGTCAATGAACTTTAACCTTCGTGTTAACTCACAACCTGAAACGTTAACTCACTTTCCTCTCCACAGATGCTGCCTGACCTGCTGAGTGTTCCCAGCCACCTCTGTTTCTATGACAAGAATTATTATTATAATAATCATTATTATGATGAAGGCTAAAGTCTCTCTCTCTCTCTCTGGACAGATGTAATAACCGCACACAATGTGTAGTGGTTGCTGGCTCGGATGTGTTCCCAGACCCCTGCCCGGGCACCTACAAGTACCTGGAGATTCAGTATGAATGCGTCCCATACAGTAAGTACCCGCTTCCCTTGTAAGAACACAATTCTCATCAAACCCTGTCCTGTAAATAGTGAGGTGGGGGTGGGGGGGCCTGGCCAAAACAAGCCCCCGCCCCGTTCTGTAAGATAATCACTCTCTGTGTTAATCGTGTCTCGCCATAACATAAGACAGCCTCCCCCACCCCCCCTCCTCCCCATGGGCTAATCCCTTGGAGATGGCTCGCATGTTGGAAGCCAAGCGAGATGTCCCCCAATCTACCAGCCTCTCAGGGAGCAGTGCAATCGCCAACACTCCACTAAACTGTGGCAAAACTGCTGATCTCATCACGGCTAATCTTGTTTCTCCGCGTACTTTCTTTTGAAGGAAAGTCGAGTTTTCTCTTCTTCCTGTTTTCTCCTCTAGCCAACGACCAGAGGAATCTCCACTCTCCAAAGCTGCTCTTAATGTTCCAGAATATCACCTAGCGTTCAGCTCGCAAGCACAAGTCACATCGGAGTCCTGTAGCTCAGTGGTTAGAGCACTCGCTTTGCAAGCGAGAGACCTGAGTTCAATTCCAGGCAGGTCAGGGCGAAACCTTGGGCAAGTTTCCTTACTCCACACAGAGCCTAATAATAATCCCTCCAAAACCAAAAACAATAATAAATTGGTCATTTTCAATCTACGACTGTTTGTGGGACATTGCTGTGCGCAATTGGCTGCCGCGTTCCCCCACAAATATACAGTCAATTCACTTTACAGTGTATTCTGTGAAGCGCTTTGGGACGTCCTCCCGACGTGAAAAGCGCTATATCAAATGCAAGGATTATTATTATTATTATTATCACGGGGATCGGGGAGTGAGGGTCTCACACACACACTGATACATTGAGGGTCTCATACACGCTGATAGCGTGAAGCTCACATAACACACACACAGACACACAAACAACCAGTCCCCTTATGCCCTATTGACAGGAATTAAATTTAGCACTCCCTCCTGACTGACAGTATTGAGTGAGTGTATACCTGCCCTATCCCTATCCACAGTACTTCTACAGTAATATATATGATACAGAGAGTATTGTATCCAGGGCCCAAGAATGGTTTTAAAGGCAGAGATGTCTTGAAATTCCTCTTTGAGTTAAGTTAGCAACACACCTGCTGTGTTGAAATCAACCACTATTCTGTCAGGAACAAATGAGATAGGAAATGTTAAGGAATAAGATCTGGGGATACAGTATATAGTGTGGGGACACCACATGTGCAGCGACTGCCAAGATGGTGGAAGGCGAAATGGATGGATCTTGGTCTTTGGCTGAGCAAATGTTCTTGTGTTAAACACTGAGGGGAATCTGTACACAGTCACACAGCGGTGTTGCACATGGTTGTTTTTTAGTCCCTGTGCTGTGTGGATCTGTGTCTACCTTGCACTGCGGAGTTCAGGATGTGGGGTGGGGGGGTGGGGGGTGGGCGGGTGCATGCTCTTGTGTTGTTTAACTACGCGTTTGCCAAATTGTTCCAAAAAGAAGTTAATCTGTCAGCAGTGAGTTAATTTCACAGAGAAACCCATCAGCATCTCTCCTCTCACCGTATGCCCACCCGTCCATATGTACATCTGTCGGTTTATTCTTTTACAGTGTGTGACGTCCTGGCGATGGGTTAACTTGTCTCTCCTCCCTCGCTGGATCTTTGAGTAACCAGCTAACCCACACTAACCCAGACAGGCCCACACTAACCCAGACAGGCCCACACTAACCCAGACAGGCCCACACTAACCCAGACAGGCCCACACTAACGCAGACAGGCCCACACTAACCCAGACAGGCCCACACTAACCCAGACAGGCCTACACTAACCCACACTAACCCAGACAGACCTACACTAGCTCACACAGACCTACACTGACCGACTGATTGTATCTGTGAGGATTGTCAGCCAGGACACCATGAGAGAGAAACTCCCTTCTATTTTCCAACAGCGCCGCGGAATCTTTAACGTCACCTGAACAGACAGACGGGGAGTGAGGTTTAACGTCTCATCCAAAGGACGGCATCTCTGACAATGCGACACTGCACACACACACACACCCACCCCCCCAAAGCACTGTCTTGGACGTCAGCCTTGCTGGCGATGGGGAACAATAATAACGCCCCATGGCAAGATACTGGCATGGATGAAAGCATTGAAAGGGATTTGGAAAGTCTGAGCCTGTGTTAATGACTGATAAATGGGGCTTAATGCAGATAAGCCCCCGCAAAGCAACCCAAGTTAGTGTGAAATTTTAATCTTTGTATCAGTCACTTAGTCAGGCCACAGCTCCCTCCCTACCAGACACTCATCTGGTATCAGATTTAACAGGAGCCTCCCCCAGCACAGACACGGTGGGAAGAGAGTGGGGAATGGGATTAGAGAGTAGAGAGCTCCAGTGGGGGAGCGAGCACCAGCATAGACACAAAGGGGGTAGAGCTGGAGGGGGAGAAAAGGTACTACACAAGTCCGGAATTGGGGTGAAATCTTGTTCTAGGTAGTTTGGACTCAATAGCAGGTCAGAGATTAACTGGGCTGGAATTTGATTTTAAGGCCCAAAGGTAAATAGACAAAAACAAAGACCGAAAATGACAAACTTTTTTATAGCAAAATTCATTAGCATAATGAAAAGACGTTCTTCTGTTTGTTGAATGCCTGATAGAAACCCCCCTCTCCTGCTACCGCCCCACCCCCACGCTCCCTGCCTCAACCCCTCTATGTCCGAGAGAAAAGTTGTCAACCCTTTGGCTGAGCTGTGAAGTCTCAATTGTGTGTCAACATGTCAATCTCTTAATCTCTTAGTTTTTTGCAGTGATGTGATTGTCAGACCCCAACACAGTGTGTCAGCCGTTCGCAACAACAACAACTTGCATTTATATAGCGCCCCTCACACAGGGTAGCGTCCCAGAGCGCGTGACAGTGGCGGAGCCTGATGCCGAGCTGAGGGAAAGGGGGAGGTGACCGTAGGTACGGTCGAAGAAGAAGGTCTTCAGCCTTATGAATGTGTTATGTTAATATTATGAATATGTTATTATTAATATGTTAGCAAGGGGCAGGGGGCAGAATAGACCTAGATCCCACCCAGGAGAGCATATTTAATAGACAAAAGGGCACTGGAGGAGGCTAGGTTCATGCTTGAGAGGAGAACTAGAAGGACATAGCAGTGGGAGAGGACAGGTAGAATGATATATGGGATGCATACAGGAGAGAGATCAGGACAGATACGAATGGAACGAAAGCACGTTCTTCTGTTTATAAACTACTAGCTGTACCCGTTGAAGCTTCATTTGCAACCAAAGGATCCAACATGGACTGTAGATTTCAGTGATGATCGCGCTATCTAATTTGTAGTCTGTGCCTGGCTCACAGTTGAGCGCAGCTAAATGGAGTGACCTCGGCTGCTGGGCTTCATTTTGCTGTGTTTTTGCATGCCTTTCTACGTCGAAGTCCAACCGTGCTGATTTTTGTTCTTCAGTTTCATTTAATCGGCCTTCTCTCTTTCGCCTGCATTTTTATTTGTCCTTGAAAGGCTTGATTTTCGCTTCTTGGGCATCTTTATTCCTTAAGATTAAGAAAATGTGCTATTGGGAGGACTCCTGGTTGGGAGGACTCCTGGTTGAGAGGCCTCTTTGTTGGGATGACTCAGTGGGATGCCTCAGTGGGAGGACTCCTCTATGGAGGATCCCTTGGTGGGAGGACACCTGTTGGGAGGACTCCTTGTGTGATGAGCTTGTGAGTTCCCTGAAAAGAAATATGCCCATGACATTCCCCTAGCAATACCTTTCCGATAAGGTATAAATCATGTCTCTACATCAATTGGTTATTGCGTTTTGGTGGACAGACAGACAGACATACATTTTATCTTTATTAGTATAGATGTGGAGTCCTGTAGTATAGTGATTAGCGTTCTCAGCTCATAACCGAGAGGTCCCGGGTTTGATTCCACACACGTGCCTCCGTTTACCTAGCAGTAAATAGGTACCCGCTTGTTAGTTAATTGGCTGTTGCGTTTCAGCCACAAAATACAGTGTATTCCACATTACAATAAATATATTGTAATGTGGAATACACTGTGAAGCGCTTTTAGACGTCTCAACGACATGATAAGGCACTGTGTCAAATGCAAGGATTATTATTATTGCCTGATAGACCCCCAGCCCCCCCCCCCAACCCCTCTCCACACACACACACACACACACACCTCCTGTACCATCACCCACTTATTGCTGTGAACAACTAGACAGGTATAGGGAAGGCCAGGCAAGACAGAAGATAGCAAAGGGGGCTCTGGAGACATCAAATATGAGAGCAAGTTTAACGCAAGCTGTTATCCCAATGGACAGCTCAGACGGCCAAGATGGAATTGGAGCACCAAAGAGAGGGGGGAACAGAGAGAGGGAGAGGACAAGGGACGCAGACAGAAACCAACCAGAAATGATGACAGCGACAGTCTATGTAGTAGATAGAACCAGAGGTTCTAAAGAAGAAGCTTCTAGAAGTAGAAGCAGAAGCAGACCCCGCAGTGATTGTGTTAATCTCAATTGACTGAACACATGTGTCCACGAGGGGGGGTTAGACGTTAGGCAAAGATCTCGCCAGACAGACAGACGGCTGTTTGTTAAGTCAGGGTATCGAGTGATACGGGACAAAGGCGGGTAATTGGACTTGAGCTACAGATCTGATGTATGATTTTATAGAATGGTGGAACAGGCTCGAGGGGCTGAATGGCTTCCTCCTATGTTGCATGTATAGCAAGTTTAGGGGGAACTCTGCACAGTGAGCCGCCATTAAACCACAAACGTCCACAAAAGAAAGATGCAAGGAGTTTCTCTTTTTTTCTCTCTGCCGTGTCTCTAACCCTGCGATGTCCTAACCTCTTATCTTTGCTTGAACGCTGCAATAGGATGGTTAATGGAACTAATGGCGTTTTGCTCTCTGAAAATTGTCTGGCTTTGTATCTTGTGTTTCCTTATAACTCTCTCTCTCTCTCTCTTGGATGGAACTAATGTAGCCTTATAACACCCCGCTCCCCTCTCACCCCTCCCCTCCCCCCCTACTCCCATCTCCCCCTCCTCACGTCTCCACTCTCCCTTCCCGTCCCCTGACTCTCTCCCACTCCCCCCCTCCCCTCTTCCCCTCCCCTCTCCCCTGTATAACTCATGTCTTATTATCATTCCAGAGACTGCGTTGTATAACTCAGTATTTGGATTTAATTTGTGATTTGCTTTAATGGCTTTGCTTTATGGTAAATGTTCATTTGAAGATTTATTTTGTTTTGGGTGTTTTGGTTAAATCACTTTTATCCACTTGCTCGCTCACTACATCTCTACTCTGTCTCTCTTGCACACGCGTTCACACCGTTTCTTGCACTTTCTCCTACATGCTTTCTCGTTCTCCCTCTCATTCTCTCACATTTTCATTCTCTCTCTCTCTCTCTCTCTCACACACTCCTTTCCCTTAATTTCACTTACATTCTCTCAATCTCTATCTTTTTCTCTTCATGGTACATTCTATACCGTTTTCCCTATGAATAATAATACTAACACTAAATAAAAATAATCCTTGATTTGTGCCTTTCACATAGGAGGACACCTCAAAGTGCTTTTTTGGTGGCACCGTCCTTCAGGTGAGACATTAAACCGAGGTCCCATCTGCCTATTCAGATGGATGTTAAATCCTGCCACCAATTGGAAAAGAGAAGGGAGTTTCTCTCTCTCTCCCAGTGTCCTGGCCGACAGTTCCCCCAAATAAAATCAGTCATTCACTTCATGACTGTTTGCAGGGACGTCGCTGTGTGCAAACTGTCTGCCGCATTCCCCTTCAAAACACACAGTCACTACACTTTACAGTAAAATCCTGTGAAGCACTTTGAGACGTCTCGACAATGTGATAAGGCACTGTATCAAATGCAAGGATTATTGTGTTATTCTATATCGCTCTCACACTCATGTCACTTGCATGTTCAATGTTTCCCTTAGTCAGATATTTGGGGAATATCAACGTGTGTTAGTGCACTGAATTGTGACTTTATTTCAGATGAAAGCTGTTCCCCCAAGTGCAGCCTGTAGTTTAAGAGACCAACACAAACGTTAGTCCTTATATATATAATACACATATATATATATATAAATGTTAACAATTTATTGTCTTTCTGAAAGGATTTGCTTGCTTTATCTTCGATTTGAATTGAAGTGCAAATGCTCTCTTTCTCCTTTTTTTTTCTCGTTCCTTTCTTTCCCCCTTCTGTCTAATCTGTTTCCGTATCTTTGCTAGAATTCAGGAGGAGCTTGCTGGAGAAAATGGGACGCATCTCCCAACATGATCAGCCTCCCCCCAGCGCACGCCCCCACCCCCACCCACGCCTATACCTGCCCTTGGGTCCCTCTGTGCCTGCCTCAGGTCTGTGTGCCTCTGACTGCCACCATCTGTGCCTGTTGTTCGTTTTTTCTCTCTCTCTCTCTACCTGGTTCCTCTTGTCCACCTGTCTTTCTTACTATCAGCAGCAGTCGCTCTCCCTGTCTAGTGTTTTCCCCTCTCGATTCTCTGTGTTTGTCACTAAAGGTAATGTAGCAAACATATCTCAGGACAACAGAGACCTGAGAGAGGTACAGGCAAACCTGAGAGAGGTACAAGTAGAGCTGGGACAGTTACAGGCGAACCTGAGAGTTACAGGCAGAGCTGAGTGAGAGGTTCAGGCTGACATGGGAGAGGTACAGGCAGACCTGAGGAAGCTACAGGCAGACAACGCTATGTAGTTCCCACACAGAAACAGAGTAACAATAATAATAATTTGGTCACTCAATCCACGACTGTTTGTGGGACACTGCTGTGCGCATTTGGCTGCTGCTTTTCTCCCATAAAATATACAGTCAATTCACTTTATAGTGAATCGCTTTGAAACGTCTTGAAGACGTGATAAGGGGCTATATCAAATACGAAGATTATTATTATTAGGGGAAGGGGTGCGAGGAAAAGGGAGAAAATTGGCTTCTTGTTTGACCAAAGTCCCCAACAGAAGAATCTCCTTCTAATGTCTCCCAGGCCCTACGAACACTTGGAAGAATCCAGCTTCTGAGTTAAGGTTGGATTTGAGTAACTTCCCAAACTCTGCCCCAAATTGTATTTCTTTATTCAAGACATAAGGCTAGGACCCTGGGGAATTTGCTGTGGGCCTGACTTCGGAGCAGTTGTTACCATCAGAGGCTGAAGCGACGAGATGTGTTCCTAACCCGGCAGTGTTCTCTCCTCGTTGTCTGTGTGTCTGTGTGTGTATGTATATGTGTGCCTGTTTCTCTTTCCTGCTAACTGTGTGAGGTTCCTCATTATCCCAGTTCCAGCCCTCGTGTGTGTGTTTGGCTTCGAAGAGTTTATGACGGGAGAGTCAGAACAAGCAGCGAGTTAATGGGCAAATATCAATGTGCCCACCTCCTGAATGTCCTGTGTTATGAATTGTTATACATTGTTCGACATCTGCACTTTATAACTGTGTTTATTACTGTGCTGTTGGATACAGTACAATTGCCAGGGTGTTAACATGCAGCATGTGTTATGATAGTTATCACATCGCTCAAAATGAGACCCCAGATCCCAGCCTCCAGCACAGTTCCCAGCACCCCCCAGCTCAGCCCCGAGCACTTGAGTCACTGCTCTTGACAGTAAATCTGTGAAGCGCTTTGAGATGTCTCGATGATACGATGAGGCGCTGTATCAATGCGATAATTATTATCATCATTTTTACCATTATTTCATCCCAAAAAAGCATAGCTGTACTGTGCCGCCGCCAAATACAATCCAAGATATAACTTTCCAATCATGCTCTACCTCCTAGCCACACAGAGAGTGTGTTATCTGTTGATGTGTAATGTCCACTGTACAGCTCTGTGCCTCTCTGTACCTTACACACATCTTACTGTGAGCCCAGGTCGGGAGGAATCCCAGGCAGCCGTGTGACTGACAATCTGGGAGCTGAACAATCCATGGAGTCCTATAGCTCAGTGGTTAGAGTAATCACCTCCCAAGCATGGAGACCCGGGTTCGATTCCCGAGCGGGTCAGGGCGAAACCTTAGGCAAGTCTCCTTACTCCACACACGAACGCCACTGTTTACCAGCTGTAAGTAGGAACCAGCTTGATAGTTGAATGGTGGATCGCTTTCCGTGTACTAATCCCTTAAAAAAATAATAATAATAATTTGTTCACTCAATCCACGACTGTTTGTGGGACATTGCTATTCGCAATTGGCTGCCAAATTTCTCCCACAAAATATATGGTGAATTCACTTTACAGTATATTCTGTGAAGTGCTTTGAGACGTTGCAATGACGTGATCAGGCGCTACATCAAATGTAAGGATTATTATAATATGGTGACGGGGGAGGAAGCTGAGCACATTGGCTCCCTGATTGGTTAGTCAACGGTTCGCAAAAGAGTTTCTGTGTTTGAGCCACTAGCGTTTTTGCTCAGTGGGATGGGGGGAGAGGCATCACTACTCACCTGAAAGGAAAAACATGTGTCACTAAGTTATAGAGAACATCAATATCTGGTCATTGTGCCCTGATCTGGTTATGTGCTGTCATGGTGACAGATGAGACATCTCGAACCATGAGGGCATATTGTAAACAGCTTGTCCCTGGGCAGAGTTGTGTGGAGAATACCATCATTCATTCATAAAATGGGGGAGAATGGTGGGAGGGGAGTGCTCACTGAAAGATAGACATCCTACTCTTGGTTGCTTGGGGAACGTCAAGGTGGACATGGCAATTTGGACACCAATAAAATGAAGCCCTTCTCACCGTGTGAGGAGATAGGGTGGGGAGGACTCCACACACAGTCCCATCTGAGAGCTTGGCAACCCTTAGCCACTGAAGGAGAAAGACTTTGGTGTTAAGACAGGACTGGAGGACCCGAGGAATAAGAAGCAGAGTCCAATGAGGACGTGAGCATTAGCAAAGGTTCAGATCCACCCAATGAGGACAGGAGCTTTTGTAAGGGCTGACAATGGGGCCAATGAGGGGCTGGGATGGGGTTGAGTAATAGTTGAAATCCAACCAATGAAAGTATGAGTTGGAACCTCATTCACAAAGTGAATATCCAGCCAATGAGGATGTAGGTTTAAAGGAAAATAGAAATTGTCCACATCTCTGAGATCTCAGAGCCTGAGATTGTACATTATTATTATTAATACATTACAGTCCAGCCATACAACAACAACAAGATTGACATTGTGTCCTTCACTAGGACAGCGTATGGGAGCCCTGCAGGTGGGCGGGCGAGAGGGGGAGGTGACCATAGGCACGTTTGAAGAGTTAGGTCTTGAGTTAGGAGTTGAGGATAGATAAAGAGGCAAGCGAGGTGGAAGGATTGAGGCAGGGAGTTTTCAACCAAGATTCTCTTCACCGGCATGGGATTGTGAGCTTTCAGATACCTGGTACCGCTGGGCTGCACTCAATTAACACATCCTTTCCTTTCATCCAACGAACATAGGTTTGGTTTAGAGCTGACTGAAGCTCAGCAGGTTCCATTTGTGAATGGTTTTAATGGAATAACTGGGGCGCTCATTTTTCCCAAGGCCACTCGTGTTGAGGCTTGCGATGGAGTCTAACCTAAACTAACCCTCCCTTCTCTCGCACGTCACGGGCTGGGGAGGAGTCCTGTTAGCTTTACTAGCCCGAACCCCAGGCGCTGTTGGTATCTGCAAAGATTGGTGAAGAGCCAACAAGGAGATCAAAAAAAATTAAACAACTTATTATATTCTGTGACAGGTTTGTTGACTCGTCAGCGTTTAGAGTAAAATTTGACGGCCTACATTGCTCTGCTCAAAAGTGTGTTAATCTTCTTCTCTTTTTTCTTGCACCTTTTTTTCACTCTTTCTCTTCCGATGCTTAAATAGAAGTGGAACAAAAAGGTAAAAAAACAAGCTATAGTTCCAATCCCCCCAAAACTTTGTTTTTTTTGTATCCATAAGAATTGTTTATTCCCTTTTATTGACTTTTTGATTTTTTTCTCTGGTATAAAAAACCAGGGCCTTCTGTAAGTCGAGAACACGATTTCAAATTCTAACTCTACGTGTTAATAATCGTCATTAGCTCGTGTCACATGGAGATCCTTAGGGATATCAATCATTGATGATAGCGATATTTATTGGGGCTCTATGTTTTTACCTCCTTAAGGCTATTACCTCACCCATTGGATGTCCCACTGTGTCCGTAAATGCCATCTGCTTGATTTTTTCTGAAACTTTCTCCATGTTTCCCCATAGCAACCGGGTTTTCTCGGGGGTATATTCCTCACCTTTTCTCTTCCTCTCTCTCTCTCTCTCTCTCTCTCTCAATCTCTCTCTCTCTTGCTTTTTTTCCCGATCTTCGTTTTTTTCCACGCCTGTAACTTCCGTTATGATATGATTTTATGGCTATTTTAATTTCCTTCCTTCGTTCAAAAAAAACGAGGCAGCCGGAAAAGAATTGGATTTGAATTTGTGTAATTTAAGGCTTTAATGCTCTCCGTGGTCCAAATACACTGTATTTCTGCTGACTCGTGTGTATGTTTTATCTATATATATACATATAGTTACGTATCTATGTTAAAAAAGTGTTCTTGAACAGTGTAAAATTTGGAGTTGCATTTGTGATGTGATATTCTCACCACTTTTCCCGAGTCTGGTAATTGGCTGCGAGATCCACATCCTCGAGGCATTGGATCCTCTGCGCTTCTCCAAGTCGAGCTCCTGTGTCTGTCAAGTTCGCTCCCGTTATTGCTCGTTGAGCGCTGAGCCGCGAGTGCGGTTGGATTTATGCCGAGGTCAGCGGGTGTGAGTGCGGTAATGGAGGTGAGAGACGGCCTCACGAGGTGCGGGTGTTATTCTGATGCTCTTCGAATCCTGTCCTGAAGGGGTTAACTCAGCTCAGCCCCACTCTCCGTTTAACAGCGCGGACGTGACTTTGATGGTGATCGTTGTTGTTCTGTTTTTTCGCTCATGAATACATTCCAGGAAGTCATTGTCGTTTTGGTCTGTAACTGCCCCCCCCCCAGTGAGCTCCTTAGTTGAAAGCTGTACCCCGGAAAGCTGAGATAGCGACTGGTTTGGTTTGACCATTTACCTTCCGATGTCCCCACTCTGTGTGAGTGTACTTGTGTGCACTTGAGTGTGAGTATGTGTGTGAGATTATGTGTGCGTGTCCCATCACCTTTGCTTGTGTGCCGCTATAGTAGATGTGCTCCAGCTGTGGTTAACTGAACTGTTGTCCACTGGAAACTGTCTGGCGTCATTAAAATTAGCTTCTTTATAGAACATTCCTTGGTTTACAGCATTTATATTGCAGACCTCAAATTCTCTTGCTTCGAATTCTGTCCGTGTTTGTGCTTCCTTCCCATTTATACCTTGAGAGAACGCAGTCTATTCCAACAATCTATCTCTGGGATTTCCATGTTAGTGGGATGGAATTCTCAGATTGGTTAATGGTAGAATTATACAGCACAGAAGGAGGCCATTCAGCCCATTGTGTTTGTGTCGGCTCTTTGAAAATTCAATTCAAATTCAATCTCACTCCCCTGTGGTCTCCCCATAGCCCTGCAAACTTGTCCTCCCCAAATAATTATCTACCTCTCTCTTAAAAGTTGTTATCGAATCAGCTTCCACCAGCCTTTAAAGGCAGTGCATTCCAGATCCCAACAACTCACTGGGTGAAAAAAAAGTTACTTTAGATATGGTTAACCACAGTGATGAGTTTCCCCATGTGCTAAACACCTGGTAGACCAAAACAAATTATACCTTGAGACCTTCTTCACTTTGTAGTAATTCCATGCGAAGCGCTTTGTTCGTCCTCACATTATGAATCGCCCTGTATCAAATGCAAGGATTATATTTTATTATTTACTAAACTTGTCTAATTTTGTTGATCGCTTTGTTTTGTGGAGAGGAAACTTGCTTCACGCTTCTATATTTTCGCACAAACCCTAAGGATTGTGCATGTCTATCCCATCACATTGAAGGTAAGATGTTTCTCTCTTCATTTAGCCCCCACATCAAGACTTGGAATCACATAGACTAAGCTGACCGTTCAGCGCAGTGCTAGGGGGAGTGCAGCATTGTCGGGGGCTTTGTGTCTGTGTGTGTTCTTATATATAGATATATATATATGTGTGTGTGTGTGTGTGTATGGGAGGGGGATTTCAAGCGCTCTGGCAGCTACCCTGCGTGAGGGGTTCTATGTAAATGGAAGTAATTATTGTGTATGTTCCTCTGTGTGTTCTTGTGTGTGTGTTTTTTATGTACATGTGTGTTTGTGTGTATTTGTTCCTGGGTGTGTTTGTGTGTGGGTGTGTTCCCGTGCGTGTTCTTGTGTGCATGTGCACGTGTGTGTGTGTGTGGCCAAGTCACTCACCCCCACTCCTCACTCAGACCCTCTTCTTGCACATGCACCAAGAACTCACAATTACCAAACTCACACTCGAGATCCCGCCAGAAGTCCAACAAGTGTGCAAATCACACAACATCAGGGGGGTAAACGTGGTTAGAATATCGTCATGAGTGGATCTCGGATTGGCTCTGCTGATATGGCCTGTATAAGTGTGTGCGTGTTTCTTTACAATATACACATGTAAATAGATAGACATTTATATACAAAATTATCAATTTGTTCTTCTCTTTTATCCTAATCGCTGCTCAGTTTTCGTCTGTCCCGGGACGCTGCAGAAAGTCTTTGACCCGACCAATGTTTTTGAATCGGAGCACGAGTCCGGAGCCTGGTGCAAGGACCCGTTACAAGCCGGAGATAGGATCTATTACATGCCCTGGATTCCTTACAGGACAGACACACTGACCGAGTTTGCCTCCTGGGAGGATTATGTCACCGCCCGCCCCACCACCTCTTATCGGCTGCCTCACCGCGTGGATGGGACCGGCTTTGTGGTGTATGACGGAGCCGTGTTTTACAACAAGGAACGGACGAGGAACATCGTCAAGTACGACCTGAGGACGCGGATCAAGAGCGGGGAAGCCATCATCGCCAACGCTAACTATCACGATACATCGCCCTATCGCTGGGGCGGCAAGACCGACATTGACCTCGCGGTGGACGAGAACGGGCTGTGGGTCATTTACGCCACGGAGCAGAACAACGGGCGACTTGTGGTCAGTCAACTGAACCCCTACACCCTGCGCTTCGAGGGCACGTGGGATACAGCCTACGACAAGCGCTCGGCCTCCAACGCCTTCATGGTATGTGGGGTCCTCTACGCCGTGCGATCAGTCTACAAAGACGATGACAGCGAGGTGGTGGGCAACAAGATTGACTACGCCTACAACACCAACCTACAGCAAGAGGAGAGCGTGTCCATCACCTTCCCCAACCCGTATCAGTACGTCTCCTCCATCGATTACAATCCCCGTGACAACCAGCTCTACGTGTGGAATAATTACTTTGTTCTGAGATACTCCCTGGAGTTCGGGCCGCCCGACCCCACCACAGGTAGGGCTTAACTCCCCCTCTCTACACCCTCTCTCTCCCCCCACTCTCGGCCCTCTAAATCCCTCCCCCTCTCTACAGCCTCACTCCACAAGGGTTTTGTCAGGTCTTGTTTCTGAATATAGTGTAAAGTGAATTCACTCTATATTTTGTGGAAGAACCGCGGCAGTCAATTGTGCACAGCGGTGTCCCACAGACAGTCGTGGATTGAGTGACCAAATTATTATTTTTATATGGGGGGGGTGGGATTATTACCCACACAGAGCAATCTGGCAATCAACTAACAACCCCGGGTTCCTACTTCCTGTTAGATAACGAGAGGCAGGTGTGTGGAGTAAGGAAACTTACCTAAGGTTTCTCCCTGACCCGCCCGGGCATCGAACCCGGTACTCTCACTTGCGAGGCGAGCGCTCTACCCACTGAGCTACGGGACTCCACAAGGATTATTATTATTATTTTACAGCACAAGTGACCGTGGCTTCAGTGAGCAGCACCACCACCCTGAGGCCCACCCCTGTCACCAAGCCCACCACCAGGAAACCCCCCTTGACCACCGTCGCTGTGGGAGCCATCAACCAGCTGGTGCCAGAGCTGCATCCGGTCACCCCCAAACTTCCCACCACCAAGCGGCCCCCCCTCTCCAACCTGCAGCCCTCCCAGCGCCAGTGCGGAGCCACCGAGGCCAGGGGTGTCAAGTGGCCGTCTACACAGCAGGGCGTCCTCGTGGAGAGGCCTTGCCCCAAGGGCACCCGAGGTATTTACACCGTGGCCGGGGTGCTTAACAGTGACACCTTAACCCCCTAACCTAGTTACTGACACAGCAACTGACTGACCTAGTGACACAGTAACTGACTGACCGAGTGATACAGTAACTGACCTAGTGACATTAGTCACTGACCTCGTGCTGAATATGTTTGGTATATTAAGACCTTCAGTGACTTCCTTACGCCCATAAAGAACAGAAGGTATCAAAATATAAAGTCTTGAAACAAAGATCTGAAATACAAAGTCAAACAACAACTTAACACAGTGCCCCTCACATGGGGGAGCGTATCGGAGCGCTTAACAGTGACGGAGCCTGACGCCAAGCCAGGGAGAGAGGAGGTGACCAAAGTGGAAGAGGAAAGTGCTCAGGTGCGATCTGAAGACAGGCAGAGAGTGGGCTGGACAGTGGGGTCAAGACAGAGAGTGACAGAGGATGTAGTGGCTGAAAGCACAGCTGCCAACGGTGTAGTGGAGGGCACAAGGGAATGGGCCGGGTAGAGTAGTGGGGTATGAGCAGGTCAGAGACACATGATCACAATGAAGTTCTCTCTCTCTCTCTCTCTACCCAGGGATTGCCTCGTATCTCTGCCTGGTGTCACTGGGGATATGGAGCACGAGAGGCCCTGACCTCAGCAACTGCACCTCTCCCTGGGTCAACCAGGTGGCACAGAAGGTAAGAGAGGGGAATGGAGTCCAGGCCGACCGCGGGCTATGACACGGACTCCTGTCACACTGCGTTATAGTTCCCAGCAGATACCAGTCAGCTTCCTGCGAGTTGCACGTGTACACAGTCAGTGCCACTTCTTGCACACACGCAGCCCACAGAAAGTGATGCCACGTAGCACATGTCAGCTGCTGCAGGAAGTGATGTCGGCACGCTTGCAAGAATTGACATGAGGGAGGGAGGGGAGGGAGGAGATCATATGGGCCGAAGAGATTTCTTCATCCAAACCAATCTGGCCACTCTCTGTGTCACCTGCCCTCGGCCCTCGTGTAATGTGTAAACCCTTCCCCCGGCAGATCAAGAGCGGGGAGAATGCGGCAAATATAGCCAGCGAGCTCTCGCGTCACACCCGGGGGCCCATCTATGCCGGAGACGTCAGCTCCTCTGTCAAACTGCTGGAGCAGCTGCTGGACATTCTGGACGCCCAACTGCAGGCCCTCAGGCCCAGCGAGAAGGAGTCAGCGGGCAGGAGCTATAACAAGGTGGGGGCGGCTCACAGTGACACACAACAAGCCCTGCAACTCACACAGCAAGACACAATGACACACAGTCAGAGTGTCACACACACAGCAATACACAGTCACACATTTTCGCACACATACACAGCGATTCACACAGTGTCACACACACAGCGATTCACACAGTGTCACACACACAGCGATTCACACAGTATCACACACAGCGATACACCGTGTCACACACACAGCGATACACACAGTCAACATGTCACACACACAGCGATACTCACAGTGTCACACGCACAGCAATACACACAGTCACAGTGTCACACACACAGCGACACACACAGCGATACACAGTCACACAGTGTCACACACAGCGATACATAACAGTCATAGTGTCACTCACACAGCGATACACAGTCACACTGTGTCGCACACAGTGAAACACAGCGACACACAACACACAACAACATCTTCAGCAACACACACCATGTGGCCCAACACAGACACTAAACTCCCAAGGTCTTGCTGTGGAAGCTTGTGAACCCACCACATTATGACTCTGGGCGAGAGAGTGACCAACTCAGCCACAGCTGGGACAATGTTTCAGAGTTTAACACCCCTGTCCTCCCCCCCCCCCCCCGCCCCCCGAGTGAATAAGGATTGGCACCCTCACTGCTCAGACAGGAGAATGATTTTGCTGCCGTCATCGTGTGGCTGTAACAAGCATTGCTTGTTTACTGGTTGTATCTAATGTGTATTTGACGAGTCTAAAGTAAGGGTGTTTTTATTCTGTTTCCTGCTCACCAATACGCCCAGATTCAGAAGAGAGAGAGAACGTGCAGGATGTATATTGAGGTAATTGGGCTTTCCTCTTATTCTCTGATCTGTGTATCATAATAAGAGTCATAAAAATACAGTAAAACTTGCATAAGTCTGATTGTACAATTCGTATAATCGTCTTGGGCAGATGAGTCGTACATCTGCCCAAGTGCTGTTCAAGAGTTTATATTCTCTGCAGATTTCACTTAACTCATACTTTGCATAAGTCATATTAAATGTCTGGTCCCAATTTATAGGACTTATCTATTTACTGTAATTCATAATAATAATCCTGATATTTGACAAAGTGCCTTTCACATCAAGAGGACATCGCAAAGCGCTTCAAAGGGTTTACTGTTGTTGTTGATGATGGTGAAGTTATTGTTGATGATGGTGATGGGCTGCCCTGACCCTGGCCTGTGTCCGCAGGCTGTTGTGCACACTGTCAACAACCTGCTGCGGCCGGAGGCACTGGAGTCGTGGCAGGACATGAATCTGACGGAGCAGGTTCACACGGCCACCATGTTGGTAGATATCCTGGAGGAGGGGGCGTTCCTGCTGGCCGACAACCTCAAAGAGCCAGCCCGGGTCAACACCAGCACCCAGAATGTGGGTGAGTATCAGCAGCGGGTACCCTGTGTTTGTGTGCTGTGTGGGTGTATCTGTGTATGTCTGTGCTATGTGTGTGTGCTGTGTATATGTGCTGGGTGTGTGTGTGACCTATGTGTGTGTATGTGCTGTGTGTATATGTGCTGTGTGTATATATGCTGTGTGTCTGTGCTGTGTGTATATGCTGCACTGTACTTAGCAAATACGAAATAAATGCTAATCACTTCTCTTTTATTCTCTTTCTCTACCCTCCCCATCTCCCCCCCATTCCCTCTCTCTCACTCCCTCTCAGAGTTGGAGGTGTCTGTGCTGAGCACTGAAGGGAAGGTGACCGAGCTGACATTCCCACACAACTATGTGACAGAGAATTTCATCCAGATTTCACCCAACACCATCAAACAGAACAGCCGCAATGGTGAGTCAGTCACAGGCATGGAGGAGGGATCGCCAACAAACTCGTGACCCAGAGGCAAGAGACTGAGTCAGGCTGTAGATTGGGTGATGGTTCCCTGTTTGACCAGTGTAGTTTAAGTGCTTTTTGCAAGTTATTCATTTGCAGTGAGTACAGTGTGCGGCTCTGAACAGATCAGCAGTTTGCTCATTCTCCCAGTAAATTACCAAGACTGAGCGAGCACTGGCAATGTGTGGAGATGAGAGGAGAGGCAGCACCAGTGAGACACTCATTGTGCAAACTGTTATTTTTAGAGTGCAAACCATGTAGTAGTCAGTGTTCACACAGCTGCAAAGTCCCACAAGAAATAGCTTTCCACCAGTCACGGCCTACTTATTTAAGGACATGGCTCTGCAAATCCCCAAAAACAAAATGCTGCATAATTCATAGTCCAACTCCTCGTAAAAACATCCTGCAGGCAACCACAACTATAATAATAATAAAAATCCTTGCATCTGACACAGAGCCTTTCACATCAGGAGGACATGTCAAAGCGCTTCATAGAATATATTGTACAGTGCAGTGACTGTGTGCGTTATGGGCAAAAGGCAGCCAATTTGCGCACAGCAGTATCTCACAAACAGCCATGGAGTGAGTGTCCAATTTTATCTGGGGGAATGTCGGCCAGGACACCGGGAGAGAGAGAGAAACTCCCTTCTCTTTTCCAAAAGCGCCGCAAGATCTTTAACATCATCTGAACAGGGAACAAGCGGGAGCTCGGTTTACGTCGCAGCTGAAGGAGGTGCCTCTGACAATGCAGCACTCCCCTCAGCTCTGCACTGCAGTGTCAGCCGGCCCAGGACTATATGAGGTCAAAGTTCTGACATGGGGTTGAAACCAACAACCTTCTGACTCAGACGTGAGAGTGCTACTCACTGAGCCAAGCTGACACCAATGAAATGAACTGTCCTTGCTGTCTCCCTAATTCGGGCTGTGTTTATCTTGTAGGAGTTGTGAAGGTGGTATTTGTCCTATACAAAAACCTGGGCCAGTTCCTCTCGACGGAGAATGCCACAGTGAAGATGAGCGGAGCGGTCACTGGCCAGGGCACCTCGGTCATCGTCAACTCCCAGATCATCGCCGCCTCCATCAACAAGGAGTCCAGCCGTGTGTACCTGCAGGATCCTGTCAACTTCACTCTCAGGCACCTCAATGTAAGTCTCCCCTCACCCCGGCCTATGCCAGGAGCGAGGACTCAATTGGGTTCCTGTACAATGGGAAGGGGTACGATGAATTTCATTGTGTACAATAATAATATGTAATAATAATCCTTGCATTTGATATAGCGCCTTATCGTGTTATTAAGACGTCTCAAAACACTTCACAGAATATACTGTGATTGGGAAGGGGTTGATGTATTGGGGTTAATGGGAGGGAATGGGGAGGGGAGTAGATACACTCATTCAAAAAAACATCTGTTTCTCTTTCAGCCAGAAAATAATTTCAACGCTAACTGTTCCTTCTGGAATTATTCGGAACGTTCCATGATGGGCTTTTGGTCCACACAAGGCTGCAAACGGATAGAAACCAACAAAACCCACACCAAGTGTTCCTGCAGACACCTCACCAATTTCGCTGTTCTCATGGCTCACAAGGAGATTGCCGTAAGTCTGTCACGGTGTCCATCCTGCAGCAGTGCCCTAAAGTCGTGGATTAGCAGGGCGGGGAGAGGCGTCCTGTCCGTCCTGTCTTGCCCCCCCACCCCTCCCCCACCAATCCACGACTGATTGTAGACACTGCTGTGCACAATTGACTGACGCATTTCAGCCGCAAAATATAGTCAATTCACTTCAGTATATTCTGTGAACCGCTTTGAGACATTTAGAAGACGTGATAAGGTACTGTACCAAATGCAAGGATTTTTATTGTTGATGTGTAGAGCAGAGGATCGCTGGCCGTGGGGGTGGGTTGTCTCTTTCCATGTGCCTTTTAAACCTGAAGTGAGAGACCATCTTCTGAGGTTCTGCATTCTAGTGTCAGCCATCTATTCATAATGAATAATTCACACCCCAGGAATAAATTACAATGCTTAATCCTTCCACTTGGGTTCCAAAAGGTTTAAATAATATATAAAATGTAATTCATGATTTATTAATAAATGGGATAAATAAGATTGGGTGGGGGTACAGAAGCAAGAGACCCAGGGTTTTTAAGTGTTGTGTTTGCTTCTATGTTACTGCTGAAGCTCAGAAGGATGATCACCAGAATGATACCAGGGCTTAAAGGGTTAAAGGATGAGAACATATTGGTAAAATAAACTTGGTCTGTATTCCCTTGAGTTTAGAAGGTGATCTGATTGAGGTGTTTAAAATGATAAAGGGATTTGATAGTCTAGCTACAAAGAAACTGTTTCCTCTGGTGGGAAAATCCGGAACAAGGGGGCATCAACTTAAAATTAGAGCCAGGCCATTTAGGAGTGAAATCAAAAGCAGTTTTCACCCAAAGGCTAGCGGAAATCTGGATCTCTATCCCAAAAGGCTGTGGATTGTTGCTGGATCTATTCACATTGTCAAGACTGAGGTGGATAGATGTTTGTTAGATCAGGGGATCAAGGGATACGGGGCAAAGGCAGGTAAATTGAGTTGAGGTACAGATCAGCCATGATTTAAAAAGCAGCTCAATGCAGTGATGGGGGGATCTTTGGGCGGGGGTTCTGTAGGTGATGAGATCAGATGGCCGAAGGGTCTTCTTCATCCAAACCCACCTTGTGTCAGCCTGGCTCAATGGATAGCGCTATCGCCTCTGACTCAGAAGGTTGTCGGTTCAACCAATAATATAGATAATTGATACAGCGCCTGTGCATGTGTCATATCAAAATGCTTCACAGGATTTGCTGTAAAGTGCGGTGACTGTATTTGGAGGCCAATGCAACAGCCAATTGCTCACATCATTGTCCCCACAAACAGTTGTGGATTGAGTAACCCAATTTTTTTTTGTAAGGTTTATTACCCCCGGAAAGCGATCCATCAAACAACTAACATCCAGGTTCCTACTTACTGATAGTTAACAGAGGGTGTGTGTGGAGTAACAAAACTTGTCTAAGGTTTTACCCTGACCCGCCCATGAATCGAATCCGGGTCCTCTCGCGTGCGAGGAGAGTGCTCTATAGGATCCTCACTGTGATATCTCCCTCTTCAGTATAAGGACCATATGCACCGCCTGCTGCTGTCTGTCATCACCTGGGTGGGCATCGTGATTTCCCTCGTCTGCCTGGCCATCTGTATCTCCACTTTCTGCTTCCTGCGAGGACTACAGACCGACCGCAACACCATTCACAAGAACCTCTGTATCAACCTCTTCATCGCAGAACTCATCTTCTTGATCGGCATCAATAAGACACAGTACCAGGTGTGTGCCGGGCCGGGTCAGAGGGGTGAGAACTGGGGGTTAAATATATCGGTGTCAAGGGCTAATAGATGGACGTCAAGGGCGAGTAAATGGGTTTCAATTTTTGGGTTAAGGGTCACCAACTTTCTTGTTTATAACACCTTATCACACAGAAATATTAATTCATAGGTCAATAGTGACTGGTTGTAGACAAACATGTCATCCATTTGATCACAGCAAGTTCCTGCAAACAACCATAAAGTTAATGAACAATTTTCATGGGTGGGTGGGGGGCGAATTGTTGGCCGCATTCCCTCCCCCCCCCCCCCCAACAACAGCACCGCGGGATTTTTATTGGGCTGTGGACTACACTCACACACTGTCGTCTCCTGTCAGATTATCTGCCCGATCATCGCTGGCTTCCTACATTTCTTCTTCCTGGCCGCCTTCTCCTGGATGTGTCTGGAGGGGGTGCACCTGTACCTAATGCTGGTGGAGGTGTTTGAGAGCGAGTTCTCCAGGAAGAAGTACTATTACCTGTGTGGCTACTGCTTCCCGGCTCTCGTGGTCGGCATCTCGGCCGCCGTGGACTACAGGAGCTACGGCACCGAGAAGGCGTGAGTCAGGCCCCGCCTCTCACCAGGTCTAACCCTACCCTTTGCTATCTGCCCCGAAACTCTGTCACTCTCTCAATCTATCCCTCCGCCATCTTCCCAATCTTCAGATCGTGACTGACCTTCCTCTTCGACTGTGCCTGCGGTCACCTCCCTAATCTCCCCAGCTCAGTGTCGTGTTCCGCCACTATCAAGCGCTCTGGGACGCTACCCTGCGTGAGGGGAGCTGTGTAAATGCAAGTTGCTGTTGACTGTGCTCCCTTTTTGTCAATAAATCGGTCCCATTTTTCCAATTCCCTGTTGACTTTCTAGTCAATGTTTCATTCTTTCACCTCCTGTTATCTCTCTCTCTATCTTTCTGCCCCCCACCCCCTCCCCCCTACACACACACACACAGATGCTGGTTACGGATGGACAGCTACTTTATCTGGAGTTTCATCGGGCCTGTGTCCTTTGTTATTATGGTAGGTGCAATGCAATGCAAATTCCTTTGTTTCCTTTGTGCTTTGGCAGGTGTGTATCATATGCATGTATGTGTACTTGACGTGTGATTGGTTGCGTGTGTGCCCGATCATGGGTGTGTACATATGGAGCAAATTTTCAGAGTGGTTAGAAAGTGGAACGCCTGCTGAGAGCGGTGGTTGAGACAGAATCTATATTGGCTTCAAAAGGGAACTAGACACATACCCAAAAAGGAATCAACTACAGGATGTGGAATGGGGAAAGGGCGGGAAAATTAAGATGAAAGGATCGCTATTTTAAAGAGCCATTTACAGACACAAGAGGCTTGAAAGATCTTCTAGATTTCTGGGGTTCTATGGTAGGATGTTAGGGTTCATATGCAGTGCAAATTTACATTTATATAGCAGTGCAAGGACATCCCCCCAATGCCCTTAACAATCCTCCCTCGCAATGATAACACAATATAATATAATGGAAGATTGAGATCAAATAGACCAGGGGAGTCTTCAACCAAACATCTCTTGTGATCTGGGGCTTATTTGTATGGAGCTCGTGAGGCTGAGAGGGGATAAGACAGAGGTGTATTAGATGCTGGAGGCTAACTTGGGGTGCACAGGGAAAGATGTGAAGGCACAGTTTTAAAATCTGAGGATGTTATTGACAGAGCGAGCTGGGATGTGGGATTCTCTCTGTCGGGTGTGGGAGGCGGCAGTTAGGTGCACATTCAACAACAACAGAACAACAAGAAAATTACATTTATAGAGTGCCTTTCATGTTGGGAGGACGTCCCAAGACGCTGTACAGTCAGAGGTCAGGACATGGGGGAGGGGTGAGGGAAGGCAGAGAGGTGGGAGGGCGACCGAAGGCACGATCGAAGAGGAGGGTTTTGACACCAGCCTTGAAGGAGGCAAGGGAGGAAGCGAGGCGAAGGGACTGTTGAATGGAATACCAGAGTATGGGGGCAGAGAGGCTGAAAGCCCGGCGACCGATGGTAGGGCGGGTCGGGCAGGAGACATGGAGCAGCCGGAGCCCACTGAATAGAGGGAGCGGACAGGTTGGTAGGGAGTCAGTAGGTCAGAGAGGTAGGAGGGGTCAAGGCCATCGATGGCCTTGAAAGTGAGGACGAGGATCTTGAACTCGATCCTCTGAGGGATGGGGAGCCAGTGGAGTCAGGCGAGGGTGGGAATGATGGGGTCACAGAGCCTGGTGGGCGAGAGTACACGAGTCTGGTTCAAAACCAGACTGTACACAGGGTTAAGAGAGAATCAACTTGAGGGATGGGGGGCAAAAGCCGGGATATCGAACTAGGGATGGGCAGTCGCGTGGCTCTAAATAAGAGTCCTGTAGCATAGTAGTAAGCGCGCTCGTCACGCAAGCGAGAGGACTGGGTTCCATTCCCGAGCACGGTTAACTCGTTTCCTTACTCCACACACACACATCTATTTACCCAGCAGTAAGTAGGAACCCGCTTGTTAGTCGAATGGCGGATCGCTTTCAGGGGTTAATAATCCCTTCAAAAAGATAATAATAATAATTTGGTCACTCATTCAACGACTGTCAATGCGCAAATAGCTACTGTGTTTCGCCCACAAAATACAGTCACTCCACTTTACAATATATCCTGTGAAGGTGCGTCTCAACAACATGATAAGGTAAATGCAAGGATTATTATTATCACTATTATAAACACCAGCCAGACTGTATGGTTGAATGGTCTGTTTCTGAGCTGTACTCTCTGTGAATCATTGATTCTTGTCTCTCACTGTCAGATTAACCTAGTTTTCCTGATGATCACTCTCCAACGGATGATTCGTAACACAAACACCCTGAAACCTGATTCCAGCCGCCTGGAAAATATCAAGTAAGTGAATGTTCGCCTCAAGACTTTTTTCTTCGACCGCGCCTTCGGTCATCTTCCCTCCTACACAATCGCCTTCCCCTCCACCCTCTCTGATCCCAACCCCCAGCTCGGGTACAAACCCTTCAATCTCCAGCACCTTGAGACGTCCTCTCAAAGTGAATGGGCTTTGTAAATGCAATTTGTTTTTGTTCTACATGCGAGTCTAGCAGGGTGTGGGGGAGGGGGTGTCACTGCAATGTCGGGAGCATTGAAGAACTGTGACTCGATGATCTGGCTCTCCCACCCTCTCCCACAGCTTTGAAGAAGTAAATTAAGAAAATGCAACAAGTTGTGCGCCTGCGAAAGTGCTCTCAGCTTTCTCCTCACTTTAGGATCTGCCAAGAGCTGATTGCTATGGTATTCTGATGGGCAATGGCATCTATTGCTTGTTTCTGATGGGCATTGCCATCTATTGCTTGTTTCTGATGGGCAATGCCATCTATTGCTTGTTTTTGATGGGCAATGCCATCTATTGCTTGTTTTTGATGGGCAATGCCATCTATTGCTTGTTTCTGATGGGCAATGCCATTTATTGCTTGTTACAACAACAACAAAATTATATTTATAGAGCGCCTTTCACGTCGGGAGGACGTCCCAAAGCGCTGAACAGTCAGATGTCGGGGCCCGAGCATGGGGGAAGGGTGGTGTAGGGGTGAGGGAAGGCAGAGAGGTGGTAGGGAGACCAAAGGCACGGTCGAAGAGAAGGGTTTTGAGACTGGCCTTGAAGGAGGCAAGGGAGGAAGCGAGGCAAAGGGACTGTGGGATGGAGTTCCAGAGGGTGGGGGCAGAGAGGCTGAAAGCCCGGCCACTGATGGTAGGGCGGGTCGGACGGGAGACATGAAGCAGGCAGGAGCCTAATGAACAGAGGGAGCGGGCAGGTTGGTAGGGAGTCGTCAGGTCAGAGAGGTAGGAGGGGGCAAGGCCATGGATGGCCTATTGCTTGTTTCTGATGGGCAATGCCATCTATTGCCTGTTACTGATGGGCAATGTCATCTATTGGTTATTACTGAAGGGCAATGCCATCTCGTGGCTGTTACTGACCTAACCTGTCATTGGCTTGAAGCGTTATGTTGATGGGTTGGACAATGTTCCTGGAAGGAATGCGTTGAGGGAGTTACTTGTCATTGTCAGATTGAGTCTTAAGAATTCTGAAACTCCACCTAGTCTTAGCCTCTATTATGTGCCGTGCAGTGTAGTGATTGTGTAATTGTAGGCAAACATGGCAGCCCAATTGAACACAGCAATATCCCACAGCCAGCCATGGAGTGAGTGGCCAATTTTAGCTAGGGGATTGTTGGCCAGGACACTGGAAGAGAGAAACTCCCTTTTCTTTTTGAATAGCGCCACAGGATCTTTAACATCCACCCAACAGGACACAGACAGGAAGCTCAGTTTAGTGTCACGTCCGAAGGATGGTGTCTCCAACAATGCAACACCCCCCCAGCGCTTCATTGGAGCATCAGCTTAGACTATGTGATTCCAAGTCCCAATGTGGGACTTCAACCCACAACCTTCTGACTCAGAGACGAGAGAGAGCTACCACTGTATCAGGCTGACACACACTGTACCAGGATAGCACACTGCGCTGACATTAAACTATCATAAATTTAGCAATTTTAAAAAGAAAGGTGGTTCAGTAAGACAAAGATCCCAGAACAATCCCTTTGGCTGCACCAAGACAGTAGAACAAGGGGACACAGGTTTAGAGTTGCAAAGGGGTAATTTCAGGCCAGACACAAGGAAGTTTTTCTTTACCTAGACATTAATTAACACCTGGAACAGGATTCCAGGAAGTGGAGTTGAGACCAGGACGCTGGGATTCATTTAAAAAGCAACTTGATAAATGTAAATTGTATTGTGATCTTGTAAAAAGGAAGACATTACCATTTATTTGGAAGCGCTATTACCTAGTGGTGCGTAATACAGTTCATTCCAGAGAGAGAGAAGGAAGTAACTGCATTCACTGTGAGAGGAATGAGGGTTCTGTACACTGACAGTGGGTGCCATTAATACACATACAAGAGCTTAATAAATAATCCCAAATAAACAATAATTATCCTTGGGTCAAATACAGCACCTTTCAAGTCAGTAGTGCATATCAAAATACTTACAGTATTTACAGTAATTAATGATCCTTGCATTTGATATAGCTCCGCATCACAATGTCAAAATGTTTCAAAGCGCCTTAGTGTATTTACTATAAAAATGGTTTTCACTGTGAATTTTGTGGGCAAAACATGGTAGCCAGTTTGCGCACAGAAATATCCCACAAACAGCCATGGAGTGAGGGACCAATTTTATTCAGTTTTTATTTGCCAAGCCTTGTGTGTGTGTAAGAATGTGACAGACATACCATGTAAAGTTATGTTCACTGGACCTTACATTAGCCACAAAGTGCCTGTCAGTTCTCTGACAGCGGCTGCGTTGTTAGGCGGGGATTGTGAACTGAAGTCTCTGAAGCCCATCTGTGAGCTGCAACAAAGGGTGATGATTGAAGCAGCTCACATCTTTGAAGGTGGAATGATTTCTAAGTGATTGTCCAGGGCAATATTGTGTCTGCATCACCTTTTTCAAATAATGGCTTGTCACTCTCCACCCCGTTGGCTTGGTGCCTTGTTAGTGCCATCACTCAGCCCTAAAGCACAGAGCAGAAGGCAAAAGCCAGTAGGTAGGGGCAGCTCCAAAAATATAGTCAATTCACTTTGCAGTATATACTGCAAAGTGCTTTGAGACGTCTCGAAGACATGATAAGGCGCTATATCAAATGCAAGGATTATTATTATTATATCGCACGTTAGAGGTTCCCGTCTGTGCTATTGTGGGAGATGTGGGCAGAGTATGGACTCGCAGCTTCTGACGAGGAGTTAATAGCTGGCAATTCCGCGCATCGTTAACTAACCTCCCGCTTGGTGATGTTTCCCTTCTCTTGCCACATGCGAGAGGCATAAAGACGTTAGCAATGGCAGTGCACAGCTACCTGTCTGGACGATTCATCTTCTCTAAATGTACAGCTTTAATCTCTCATATTGCATACAATTAAATCTCACTGCTGGGTGCCTTGGCAAGACCTCTCCTACTCCAGGACACTGGGTAGGGATCTTTAATGTCCACCTAGCTCAGGTAGTAGCTCAGGTTAATCTCATCTGAAGGACAACACTTCCAACCATGCAGTGCTTTTTCGCCCCCCCCGCTAAAATATATTGGAATGTCAGCCTGGACTACATGGAATCCTGATGTGGGGAGTTTAGAACCCACGACCATCTGACTCAGAGACGAAAGTGCGATCGACTGAGCTGGGTGAACGCACAGTGGCTGAGCCAGGCTGACGCTGTTGCCCTTTCCAATTGGAGGGAGGGCCTTTTGCCGTGATGTAACAGGATTTGAGTTACACAGAGCTGCTGAGAACCCTGTGGCTTATGCCCACTGAGGCTTTATCTAATGGAATCCTTTTCTTTGCTTCTGTAGATATGAGGACTACAAACCATTTCTCAAGTAAGAGTCTAGTGTTACAATATCAAACTGAGCACTTGGGTTACATTATCCTGGGCTTACTTTGTTGACAATAATAATAATTCTCCTTACATTACAGTGGTAAGAGCAGTCGCTTTGCAAGTGAGAGACCCGAGTTCAATTCCAGGCAGGGCGAAACCTTGGGCAAGTTTCCTTACTCCACACGCCTAATAATAATACCTCCAAAAAACAAAAACAATAATAAATTGTTCATTTTCAATCCACGACTGTTTGTGGGACATTGCTGTGCGCAATTGGCTGCCGCGTTCGCCCACAAATATACAATCAATTCACTTTACAGTGTGTTCTGTGAAGCACTTTGGGACGTCCTCCAGACGTGAAAAGCGCTATATCAAATGCAAGGATTATTATTATTATTACATTTGAAACGGGGCTTTTAACGTCAGGAGGACATCTCAAAGCGCTTCACAGGACAGACTGTAAAGTGACAGCGACTGTATTTTTTGTGAGGAACGTGGCAGCCAGTTTGTGTACAGCGATGTTTCATAAACAACCATCCACTGCACTGAATGCAAAACGTATTAATTTATTATAAACAAACAAACAACCCTCGTGTTCCATATAGCCCCTATCACCTTGAAACATGCCAATGGGCTTCGCTGGGAATGGCTGTCAACTTTAGTGACTGTGTATTTTGTAGGAAAGTGCAATAACCAATTTTGAGCTGTGAAGCAACGTCCCACGAACCGAGTTAAGTAAAATGACTGGTTTATCTGGAGGATTGTTGGCCAGGAAACTTCCCTCTTCCGATAGCGTCACTACTCCTGTGGCCTGATTTTGGAGCCTCATCTGAAGAAGCTCATAGTCCAAGCTGACTCTCCAATGCAGTGCTGGAGTTTGTTGTACTGTTGGAGACACTGTCCTTCGGACAAGACATTAAATCAGGGTCCCGTCTGCGTGTTCAAATAGATATTAAAAGATCCCGCGGTGCTATTCGAAAAGAGAAGGGAGGTTCTCTCTCCCGTGTCCTGGCCAACAATCCCCCAAATCATTGGTCACTTGCTGTTTCTGGGCTTTTGCTGGGCACAATTGGCTGCCATGGTTTTCCTACAAAATACGGTCACTGCACTTTACAGTATCTCCTGTAAAGCGCTTAGATATATCTTTCCAACATGTTAAGATGCTATACCAAATACAAGGTTTATTATTATTATTTTATTATTGAGAGGTGTCAGTCTTAATCAGACGAGAGTCAAGCAGTTTCTGCACTGTGGGACGTCTTTCCGATGTGAAGAGCGCTATACAAGTGTAATTTATTGTTGTTTCCAAAGTTAGCAGCAGAGTGGCTGCAGTTGTGTGGGGAGTGGTGGCAGCAAGAAGGGTGGAGAGCTGGGGGCCTGTGTTTGTTGAACAAAGGTGATGGGGGCAGCTCAAAAAAGTCAATACAGACTATATAAAAGTGTTCACTGTTAACATCAGCTGTCCCCTCCTGGTGTCCTGGCCAAAAATGCTCCAAATAAAATTGGTCAGTCACTCCATAGCAGTTTGTGAGACATTACTGTGTGCAATTGGCTGCCATATTCGCTTATAAATACACAGTCACTCCACTTCACAGTAAATCCTGAGAAGCACTTTGGGATGTCCTTCCAATGTGATAAGGCGCTATACCAAGATAGGAGGATTATTACTGTAGTGAATGGAACCCATCAGATAAGATGTGTTAAACCAAGGTCCTATTTGACTGTTCTTCTGGTGAATGTTAAAGATCCAGCGGCTTTGGAAAAATGTAGGGGTGAACTGGCTGACATTCCCCCCAGATAAAATTGGTCATCCACTTTGTGGTTGTTAGTGGGGTGTTGTGTTTGTGTAAATTTGCCTACAAAGTCTACATTTACCAGTAAATCCTGTCGAGACTTTTGAAAGGTCTTGATGATGTGATAAGTTACTGTATCAAATGCTATTATTATTATTAATAATCAAAGCATAAACTTTGGTGATCAATTAACCCATCCCAGCCTGGCCTCTCCATTGTGTCCATCTCACTAGCTGGTCTAATCATCTGATCGGGTCTCCATCAGACAATGGATGGAGTGTTTACCTTTGAGAATGGAGATAGGAACGATTTGCCGTGTCATTCGGTGCCTCTTGTGAATTGCTTCTGTCAGTCTTGAGTATTTGAAAGCTTTGGGAATGCGCATCCACAGCTGATTCTCTGGTCGGCTGGTTGAGGATGGGGCGTGGCCTCAGTGTTGGAAGTTCAGAGATACCTAAGTCGATGCAGTGCATTATTGGCGGTCCCGTCCTTCAGATGAGACATTAAACCGAGCTCCCCATCTGTGCCCTATTCAGGTGGATGTTAAAAGATCCAATAGCTATTGTAAAAGAGAAAAGTTTCTCTCTCCCAGTATCCTGGCCAACAATACTCCAGATAAAATTGGTGACTCACTTCATGCCTGTTTGCATGACATTGCTGGGTGTAAATTGGTTGCATTCAACCACAAATCAAACAGTCACACCGCTTTACAGTAAATCCTGTGAAGCACTTTAGGACATGAAAGGTGCTGTACCAAAGGAAATATTATTATTATTTACTGGCTCAGCAGTGACACCAGTAATAATCCTTTCAAATTTGTTTTAAAAGTAAATAAATAATAATTTGATCACTCAGTCTACGACTGTTTGTGGTACACTGTTGCGGACAATCGGCTTCCGCTTTTCGCCCATAAAATATACAGTCAATTCACTTTACAGTATATTAATGCCAAATCAAATGCAAGGATTATTATTATTATTACTTTTATAATCGATCAATGAATCAAGTACACCCTTGTCCTTGTGTTGGGTTCCTTGTTATGTTCAGTGGTTTTGAGGCATTAGTTTGACATTGTCATAATAATTCTAGCATCTGATTCAGCATGTTTCATACCGGAAGGACATCTCAAAGTACTTCAGAGGGATTTATTGTAAAGTGTAGCAACTGTATGTTTTGTGGGGATACCAAAGGGATTAATGGATATGTTCCTATGATTGTAGCCTTGGGATATGATGTGCTTGGGAGAGAAGGTGATGTGTAGACAATGGAGAAGTAGAAGTTTTGAGAGGGGATGAGCATAAATGCGTTCAGCCTTGTAGTTTAGCTTATTCACTAGGATGTGAAGAATGAGCAATCTAAGACTGCTGTAAAAGGAGATATTCAGTGTCAATGCCCTCACACTGTAAGGTCTTCAAATCCACCTTCGATGCCCATCACCCTGAATAGTACAGCAAACAACACACAATGGGTAACCATTCAATACACTTTTTATACACTGACCCCTTTGTGTTATTCTACACATCCTTGGTGTCCCTGTCTTTATGTTTTATATATGCTGCATACATGGCGTATTATCCAGCCTGGCTCAGTTGTAATCAGTAGAAGCCTGTACACTTCACTGATCTTGTGATAATGTGAAGATCTTGTGATTGATTTGTAATATCCTACAATCTGTGATCTCTGTTTCTTGTTTCAGATCCTGGGCCTTGGGTGCCATCACCCTCCTTTTTCTCCTGGGTCTGACCTGGGCTTTCGGCTTGATGTTTATCATTGAGGAATCCATTGTCATGGCTTATCTCTTCACCACCTTCAATGCTTTCCAGGGAATGTTCATCTTTATTTTTCATTGTGCTCTCCAAAAAAAAGTAAGGAATTTCCACTTTACCCTATGGTCAGACAAGTGTCTGACACATGCAGAAACATCACTGTGCTTAAGAGCATTCAAACTAGACTGAGAGTTCCATACATCCCACCGATATAGGGAATTTCTTGTGTCTGGAATGGAACGCTCTCTCTCCTTTTTCTCTCGCTCTCTCTCTCTGGAGGGACACAAACTGCTTACCTAATGTCGGAAAGTATTAGGTGCAAGCATCAAAAGAGTTACACTTGGGTGTAACTTCTGGAGTCTAATCAGCTAAACCCGCATAGCTTGTCATTGAGAGCTCTGCCTGCCAAGCTTTCCTATTGCGTGTCCAACTAGGACCACCCTACCCATCCAGGGCTTTGACTTGCAGGGTTAACAGGAGGTGAGTGGGAAGAGTGCTCCCAGTGTCTGGTCTGCCCTTCAAAGATGTCAGAGTTTAAGCAGCCTGTCTGCAAGCCAATCGAGGTAGATTCCAGGTGCTGGCTGTACAAATGTGTAAATAGTTTAGTAACTGTCCCAGTTGCACCAATGATTATAGGAACTCTGCATGTTTGTGTTGCCACATGCGTCCGCTTTCAATTTGTAGATCAATATATTTCCTGATTTTCTTAAGTTCCTTATTTAATTTACTCTAATCACTTAGGATGGCCAGATCAATAATTATTACTACTATTATTGTCATTATTATTACTATGATTAATGTCTATGCTGTAACCCGATGTGTTGCCCCGTTAGGTGCACAAGGAGTACAGTAAATGCCTGCGACATGCACACTGCTGTAGCCGGCCTGCCACCGGCGTCTCTCACAGCTCCATGAAAGCATCCAGCATCAGGAACAGCAGCCGATACTACACTGGTACTCAGGTACAGAGCACGGCAGCAAGCCGGAGGATGTCCGAAAAGGTTATTTTACACAGGGTCCCTGTGGGTTCATGTGTTTATGTGTGCATATCCTCAGACGATTGCTGGTTTGGCGAGGAAAGGAGAAACGAGAAAGGCAAGGAGGAATTAGATGATTTACGCTGCATGGCCATCTGTAACCAGACCTGGGTTATCTTTACACCCTTCCCAATTTAAAAGGAAACTCAATCCCTACTTTAGGGAGAGGGGAATAGAGGGGTCAAAACAAACTGGTTTCCATGCAGTAAGTTCTGCCATATGGAGCGCTCTTCTGAGGACCTTGTGCCGTGTCCAGTGTCCGCTTCACTGTGTCAGTCCTGTGCCTCTTGCGTCTTTTTACTGATTTCCTTTTATGAAGGTTTGGTTCACACCAACGCAACACTGAGGAGCTTTCGGCCTCCCCTCCCCCTCCTGCCTGTTACACCACATTTCAGCCTCATCTCTGTATCAACACATGTGCTGCACATATCGACACAACATCAATTCATCTGCCTCACACAACCCTCCACACACACAGGCACTCACACATCCGCTCACAAGGTCCGGGATAAGGTGGGCCACAGTATTTGGTTACCACGGGTGGTGGGGGGGCTTTACGCACATGACCCGTGAGGAGACGCGATGGAAGAGCTGTTCTCTGACACCAAGTGTGTGTTACACACCAATATCTCATCACCCTGAACACAGCCCAGCCAAGCCCCTCCCACTACCTGAACAAGCCCCTCCCACTCCCTAACAAGCCCCCCCACTACCTGAACAAGCCCCTCCCACTCCCTAACAAGCCCCTCCCACTACCTGAACAAGCCCCTCCCACTAGCCCAGCCAAGCCCTCCCACTCCCCACCACTCCAATCCCAGGCCATGCCCCCTACTCCAGCCAATCTCCGTGCTCCTCCCCCCACGTACCGAATGGATGATCTGTTCCCTGTGTTAACCTCACCGTCAGTCTCTCTCCATCGACAGAGTCGTATCAGGAGGATGTGGAACGATACCGTGAGGAAACAATCCGAGTCGTCTTTCATGGCTGGTGACATGAACAGCTCCCCGAGCCTGAACCGAGGTCAGTGTCTGAGCGGCCACAATCAGGAGGTTGTGGGTCCAGCCTAGGGAGTGTTCAGCTCAGTGTCCAGCCTGACACTCGACACTGCCATGTCAGAGCCATTCACCCCAGCTTTACACTGTCCCCAACACCACAGTTTAAGCTTATTAATTCTTTATTATAAATGTGAAGCCTACCTTCACAATCCCTGAAGTCCTGTTACTGTAACGCTGTGTGGAGCTGCTCCCGCGGAGCTTGTCAGCCTTAGCGCTGCTTCTCTTACCGGTTTTCCACCTTCAGCTATTCACAGCAGCTACAGTGTGAGGAATCGGTGTACAGTGTGAGGAGTCGCTCTCTCAGGACCAGTCACGTATTAACTAACAGCGCTGCATTTCCCGCTTTTATACTGTGCTGTTGGCGCATGCGTAACTGTCCTTTAATCTAAATAAACTTTAATCTAATTTTTGTCTTTTGGGTTTATTTAAAATTTGTGCTGTTTGGTAATAATCCTTTCAAAAAATATTTAAAAAATAATAATAACGTGGTCACTCGCTCCACGGCTGTTTGTGGGACACTGCTGTGTGCAATTGGCTGCCATGTTTCTCCCTCAAAGCACAGTCACTGCACTTTACAGTATATTCTGTGAAGTGCTTTGAGACGTCTCAAAGAACATAATAAGGCGCTATATCAGATGCAAGGATTATTATTACAATTATATGTAGTTAGATATTATTAAATAAGGAACTCCTATAATTAAATAATAAATAATGTATCATATTTTAGAATTATACTATTTTAATTATTATCTGTAACTATAAATAGGTATACTGTCAAGTGTAGTGACTATGTATTTTTTGGGTGAAATGCGGCAGCCAGCACAGCACAGCAGCTTCCCACAAACAGCCATGGTGCAAATGACCAATTTTATTTGGAGAATTGTTGACCAGTACACCGGAAGGGAAAATCTCCCTTTACTTTTTGACTAGCGCCGCGGGATCGTTAATGTCCACCTAAACAGGCAGTTTAGGTTTAACGTCTCATCCAAAAGGACGGCGTCTCTGACAATACAACACTCCCCCAGCACTGATTGAAGCGTCAACTTAGACTATGTGATTCCAAGTTTTGACATGTGGCTTGAACCCACAACCTCCTGACTGAGAGGCAATAGTGCTACCACTGAGCCAGGCTGACATACATCGACTGAGCCGGGCTGACACACAGACACAGCGACTGAGCCGGGCTGACATACAATACAAGTTATATATTATAATGAGCAGTGCTTTCTCTCCAGGGACGATGGGGAACCACCTGCTGACGAATCCGGTGCTCCAGCCTCGCTCGGGGGCCAGTCCGTACAACACGCTGCTTGCAGAGTCTGTGGGCTTCACTGCTCCCTCCCCCACCGTCTTCAGCTCCCCAGGTACACAGCTCTATACACCCTGACCCTATACACACTGACCCTATATACCCTAACCCTATACCCCCTGAGCTTATGCACTCTCACTCTGTAACTCTCACCTTGTACACTCTCACCCTGTACACTCTGACCATATACACCTTGACCTTATACATCCTCACCTTCCCAGCCTCGACCATGAGATCCTATAACTCCAGTACTGGGGTTGTAAGACTGCAGTTATAGGATCTCTTTGACTGTGCTTCCCCCTTTATCGGCTCCTATCCCCATTACTCGGGTATCCAGGTGTGATGTGAAACTCAGCCATGCTCTGGTGGGTGGTGTCAGTGTAGACTGTGTTATGTTTGTATTTTGGGGCACTGTTTGGTATGTTTAACTCGCAACTCGATTGAGGGTGACTGAGATGAACTTTGTGATCTTAATTATGCTACTGTTTATTTTCCCCCCTATCCCTCTCTTTACCCTCTCTCTCTCTCTCTCTTCCCCACCTCTCCCTCCCTAAATGCTACGGCGTAGGAACTTACAGAGAGACAAGTAAGAAAGCCACATTTTAGCTTACCTTTGAGTATATTTTAACAGTGTGGATGATATGGGGTCATTTTTAATAATAATACTTGCATTTGATACTGCGCCTTTCACATGGTCTCAAAGCACTTCACATTGATTGCACTGTTTCTCTCTCTCCCAATGTCCTGGCCAACAATCCTCAGATAAAATCAGTTGCTGCTATGTGAAACACTTTATGGGAAAGCTGCTGTATCTAAAGGAAACATTATTATTAAAGATTAGAGGGAGGGAGATCCAATGTTTAGGAGGCTCTCTCACTCTTTCTCATAGTCTTTCTCACTCGTTCTTACTCGCTTTTTCACTCTGCCTGATCCCTCTCACTCTCAGCCTCTCTCTCCTTCTCTCACTCTTTTGCTCGCGCTCTCTTATGCTCTTTCTCACGCTCTCTCTCTCGCACTCTTTCTCTTGCGTTCCTTCAATAACTCGCTCTCACACTCATCCATTCACTCCCACTCTGTCTCTCGAACACTCTCTCACTCTCTAACTCTCACGTTTTCTCTCTCTCTCTCTGTCTCACGCTCTCTCTCTCTCTCTGTCTCACTCTCTCTTGCACTCTAAGTCTCTCTCTGTCTCTCTCTCACGCTCTCCACAGAGCACCTGGCAGGCAGCGGGCGGGACGTGTGCCCAATGGACACGCTCCCGCTCAACGGCAACTTCAACAACAGCTACTCGTTCCGCAACGGGGAGTTCGGGGCTGATGGGGCGCCACTAGCTGAGTGCCGGCGAAACCTGAACCTGAACCTGAGCGACGCCGCCTTCGAGAAGATGATCATCTCTGAGCTGGTCCACAACAACCTGCGCTCGGGGGGCAAGGCCCTGGGGGTGGAGCCGGGGGGGGGCGCTGGCGTGGGCACAGCCGTTGGCAGCAGTGAGGACGACCCCATTGTGACGGACGCCCCCTCCCACGACGAGAACATGGAGATGGAGCTGATGTACAAAGCGCTGGAGGAGCCGCTGCTGCTGCAGAGAGCACAGTCACTGCTGTATCACAGCGACCCCGAGTTGGAGGAGGCCGGCAGCTACACAGGGGACATGGCAGAGGCCGAGAGCCTGGAGCGCCCCCTGCAGTCCCCACACAGAGACTCCATGTACAACAGCATGTCCAACCTCAGAGACACGTCCTACCCTGACAGCAGCCCCGAGGGGGTGGGAGAGAACCTGCCCCACTCCCAGCCTCACCCGGAAGTCTTCTACACCAACAGGCCCAACCTGCCCGTGTTCAGGAACCAGCTACAAGCTTATTACCACCAGGCCCCACGCAGGGGCAGCAGCAGTGACACACACCAGGGCTTTGTGGTGTCGGTCAGTGAGGCCTCAGCACCAGCCGAGGGTGATGGACAAATGCAGTTGGTGACAAGCCTGTGAGAGACGCCGAGGCCACAAAGCCAGGACCGCAGTTTACGGGATTTTAAAGCCAGAAAAACAAGGGGCCGTGACTGGCTTGTACAGAGGACCCACTTTGTTTTGTTTGAGCAGGGGGGGCTTGCAATTTCTTATTTCCTTTCCATTTTTCCTTGTCTTATTAATATTCGTTTCGCCCACAAAACAGTCTCTCCTGTGAAGCGCTTTGAGACGTCTCGACGACTTGATAAGGCGCTATATCAAATGCAAGGATTATTATTATTTTTATGTGTGTAGGGCAGACAAGTTGGGCAGTCTGCTGCTTAAATGACTACCTCCGCACTATTTGTTTGGTTGGGATTTTTTCCCCCCTTCCTTCCCCCAACTTTCCTGCTCTCTCCCCACACCATCCCAGCTCTGCCCATATGCTAAAAATCATTTGTAATCGCAACAGGAAAAGAGCGAGAGCGAAACCCCGCACACTCTCCTCAACCACAACTGTCTGGGACGCTGCCCTGCGTGAAGGGCGCTATATAAATGCAAGTTGTTGTTGTGATGATGACGGACTCCACGCTCCCAACAGGTGGTCGAAAAATGCTCCGAAATTCAGTTATGGAGAGAGAGCGAGATGGTGGGTTGGGGCGCGTTTCAATATCTCAGCGATTAGACTGGTGCTAACACAAAATCCTCAGAGACAAACAACATTGCTGAAGATATAAGTCGGCTTCCAATTTTTTTTCTTCCTCTAAGGAGCCTCAACAAGTTGTTATAACTAAACAAGCCATCGAGACCACGCCCACCAACATGCCCCGTTATTGGGGGGTAGAGAAGGGGGGAGGCCGGTAGACTCTGAGAGTGGGGGAGGCACACAGCAATATAGGAAACACTCTCAGAACCTTGTCTGATTATTACTGTCTGTGGCCCCCTGCAGCGTCCTTAATGGAGCCCGGAGACATTAAGCCTTTTCCACTTGTTGGGACTCTTTCTCTCCCCCACCTCACCCCCCCCCCCCCCCCACCGAAGAACGTGAGTTACGGAGCCAGGATGCACAAGAACACTTCAAGCTGCTAAGTCTCACCCACCTTGTCTTCCCACCACAACTGCTCCATTTTGTCTGCGATGAAAGTGGAATGCAAGGAGTTTGGATTGGGTGGTGTGACCGAGTGTGGAGAGCGGGAGAGGTGCAGGGAGGGGGGTGGGGGGGCAGGGTAAAAGGGAGTGAATGGGAAGCGGTGGTGGGGAGAGCTGGTGGGGGGGGGGGTTCCCCTGCTCGTAACAAGCACGCACTGAGCACACTGCCAACTTTTAGCCCAAGACCCTGCTTTGTACGGTAACCGAGGTGGCGGGGGGGCAATACCCAACTCACGGACAGACTTGCCCAACAACCTGGCTCTTACCCTCCGGAGAGGGGGTGGTGGGGCAGAGCACACAGCCACAGGTGGAGCCACTACCCCCTTTCGCCCCCTAAACTGTAGCATTCGCATACAGAACCGGGAGGCTGAATCACATGCCCCAAGGCATCAGACTTGTGTAAATAAAAATTAATTGTGGTCAGGAAGACATTTACTCTTCCTGCCCTTCCCCCCCGTGATACTGACTGACAGGAAAGCTTCCCCCCCCCCACTCCCCACCTCCCCACCCTGGCTGTTCGCCTATGATCATGGCGGGGATGGGGGAGAAGGGGGGCCGCACAAACGTTATTCATTTCTTAGGCACATGTAAATGTATTATATACGAGAAAGGCTGAAATTTGAAGACCTTTGATCCCCATTCCTCCCCCCTTACCCCACTATCGGTGACCTTCAACCTTGCTGTTCTGAACAGGAAGCACTTTCCGTGCAGAATTCTGAGACATCTTTTGCCGAAAGACAGGAACTAAGGGTAGGTGTTTGAAACCAAAACATTTTTTTGCTCTCTGGTAAATTTTTTAAATGGTGGAAAAGAAAGGTTTGCAAACACACATTGAGGTTTGATTTCCTCCCCACCCCATCTATTCACTTGTAAATGTGGATTAGAATTCATCCCCCGTTTAACCCTTTGAGTGCTCTTTTTCCTGCACATTACACATGAACCCATACACCCGCACATGCACACCCACACATATACACACACAGTTCAACATTTCAGATGGGCAAAATATGGCACATTATTAGGAAGATAGGATGTTTGGGTTTTGCGAGCCGTGTGTTGCAACTAACTCTCCCCCCCACCCCCAGCACCAGCTTGAAGTTAAACTATGGTGGGGGGGGGCAGTTTGGAACCTTAAATGGGAGTAAAGAGGGCATTGGGTTGATTCCCATTATCTGAACTCAATGTTAATGCCACATGAACCATCCACGTGTCTCATTGTCCTGGGTAAAGCTGAGGTAAGAGACTGGCCTCTGTTTACCATCTTCCCTTTTGTTCAGTGTTGGGGGTGGGGGGGCTTCTGGCTCATCAGTGGTTAATTAATAAACGGAGATTAAAATCCCATCCCTCCCCACAATTTAAGGGAAAAGTGAATGAGAAGGGGCAGGTTTGGCTCAATTCCATCTATTGCCCCTCACGCATCAAGCGGAGGAAATGGACCTTATCCTCACTCAGTGAGCTTGTCTCTGTATATCTGACACCGAACAGTGGGAATTGTATCAGATGTTATTGAAGAGCAGAGGTTTGGGCAGACAACAGGCACGAGTGGGATGGGGAATGACACGTAGCAAATTGCAAAGAGAAAGCTTCCCAGTTGGGTCGTCCCAGCTAATTTTGGTCCCAGAACAAGTCACCCACCTTCTGCCCCAAGCAGCCTGCACACTCACACGTGGAAATGAGCACACTCATTCCACCTTATACTCATGCTGGTCTGTACACATGGGCAGCACTGGCAGTCACACTGCCAGGGGGCGCTGGTGCGTACACAGTTGTGTGTGCGGGTGGGGACAACATATAATATGCAGATGGAATAAACCGAGCACCTCAGCCGTTCCGTTCTGAGTCATTTCAGTCCATCTCCAATCCATTGGAAGGTCCAGTCTTAACAGGAACCTCAGTCCAGAGATAGGCACATCTCACCACAGCCCACATCTGGGCAATCCATCCCGAGTCAAAGAGTCAAATGGGGGAAAGTATGGAAGATTCGCTGAAATCTTCCATCTTCAAATTGGTAAAAATAGGCAAACAATCCATTGGTTTTGACAAACCTGAAAGTGGCAAATTTGATTTCCAAATGGGTTCTTGTCTTTAAATCTTAGTGTAAAAGTAGAAAAAAACACAAAAAGTGGGAGACAGAGTGACAGAAAGCCAGGGTGATATTTTAAACATTGGCTTAAAACCCGATTTTTTTATATTATATTACATTTAATGTATATTGAATGTGATTTGGATAGAATGGCTACTATCTTCGGATTAATCAACCAGAGTCGAGGTTAGGTTGCTTAAAATATTTTCTGTTTATTATCTATTCTACAAAAAANTATATATAAAATGAAAATATTGATTGTCGTGTACGTGTGATTACAGTCTGGTATTAATCATATTTGATCAGAATATAAGATGCAATTTTTTTNAAAATCTGCTTTCCGTGCATTCTTATCTGAGGTGAGAGTGGGTGCCTCCTGTACAATGGAAGTGTTTCCAAGCCAGGCCAACCTGTAACACACCCTGGAGATAGGTTTTGTTTGATGTCGGTTAGGTTTAAGAGACTGAGTGGTTTTCTCCCAGCAGGGCTTAGTATCTGCTTTGGTGTACGGCAAGCTTTCCCACTGCTTGTCCAGCTGAGCTAACGCTACCCATCAGGGCTTTTGCCTCCAGAGTTAACAGGAGCTGAGTGGGAGGATTCCCTGCCCCCAGTGGCTGGTCAGTCCCTCCAACTCTGCGGTGTGCTGTCATCATCAGTGTCCTGGAGTACTGTGGACCTACCTGGCTCAGGAACAAGACAAGAGACTGTCACAGAAGGCTGGCTCAATTCTGACATTCCGTTCCCAGACATGACACCTTTGCGGTAGGTTCAGCTCCAAGAAGACCCTGCTTACCCCCCACCCCCCTCGCCCACCACCTCTCCCCAATGAGGATAGTTTCTGGTTCGTGAGTTTTCCTGAATCTCAACATGAGGGTTTCCATCTCGAAGCAAAAATTCAGCTTGAAGCCAGCAAGCACTCACTCCCTCTCTATGGCCATGATTACTGTAAAAAAATAATATCATGGTTGATCATGACTCGATCAGTGAAGAGACAAAAGATTCCCATCGCTAAACTGGCCAATTGCCTCAGTGGGTCAGGAATAGATTGTGTATGTGAGCGGTGAATTCATCCCGATTTTCAGGCTCTAATCTGTAGATGGTTTCATTGATTCCTGAGACTTGCTCTTCCCATTTCCAGTTCATTGTAACTATCTCTTTACCATTCTTGCCCCATTGTAATCCATTAACTTCCCCTTTTCCATCTCACTCGCTCCCCATATCCCAAACCCTCGCTGTTTTAATGTAAATCAAGCAGTGTGATCATTGTTAATCATCATGAGCTTCCTCTACTTCCTATATCCCTTTTTTGCTCTTCCCCATTTCTCCCCAGTCATGTAGAAGTCCTGTCAAGGAGGCACCTGGCACCACAGCAGATACTGAGATAGTTTCACCCTGGCCCTATGTAGATCGCTGGGAATACCTCATTGTTCCCTATGTTACCAATCTCCAAGGTGTGTTAAACTGCAGCTTTAACCTGGTAACTGAATGTGACCTGTTGGAGGACAGACAGCCCTCTCATCACAATGTATAACTTTCATTAAAAAAAATTGGAACCAGCATTCTCTGCATTAACCTTTATTTTGGACCGTGCTTGTGGTCACCCCTCCTGTACCCTGCCTCCCATTTGCTTTGCTGGCTCAGGCCTGCTGTGTAGCACCAATACCCTTCCCCCGCCCCATGCCACAAATCAGTGACTTCACCCCTAACCCCCGGAATTCCCTGACTCTATGCCCCTCCGTCTCGTCCCTTCTCTATTTAAATTCAACCCCTCTTTGACCACGTTTATTTTTGCTATATGTGTCCAGGCCGGTTGTTAACAGGTGGGTTGCTTAATAGAGGTGGTTGATTGAACATGTTTGACTGCATTAAGGGGGTTTCATGGGGAGGAGAGGCAAGAGGCAAGCCAATGAATCCTGTCGTGTAGTGGTTAAAGCACTCGCCTCGCAAACAAGAGGACCTGGGTTTGATTTCTGGTCAGAGCGAAACAA